TCCCTGAAAAGGTAAAGTTCTTTATTTACTGATGCACTTATTTACTAGGAATATGATGTTTTTAAACTGTACTAATATTTTCCTTCTCTCTCTCTCTCTCTTCTCTCTCTCTGTCTCTCCCTCTCTCTCTTTTTTATATTGCTAAGGCTGGCCTCCATCCTGCCCCTGCTTCCTGAATAGCTGGGATTACAGGTATGCACCACTGTGCCTGGGTTTGTGCTTTTTTTATATTTATTTTTTAGTTGTAGTTGGACACAACACCTTTATTTCACTTCTTTATTTTTTTTTTTATGTGGTGCTGAGGATTGGACCCAGGGTCTTGCAGGTGCGAGGCGAGTGCTCTACCACTGAGCCACAACCCCAGCCCTTGGCTTTGTGCTTTTATGTTTACTAAGATGGTGTTAGTACTCAGGTTGCAAAGTTGTATAGATTTGGGATGGTCTGCCCAACCCATTTCCCCCCCATAATTGCTTAGAGCATGAACTTGAGAATGAAAACCTTTTTAGGAGCACATCTATCATATTTTAGCAGAAATGTCTGTTTGCTGCCTTTCCACCCATAACCATGGATAAATTATTCATGCTCCTATCTAAAGCTAATTCTTCCACTAGTGGACTACGTTCCATCCTCTTATTCAAAGACCTTGCTCCAGCATTTTCCAATTTTCAGCAATTTTTCTAATTTCATCAACTTTTTTCTCTCCTGGAACATTCTCTCCACCATCCTTCCCTCAATTAAAAAAAAAAAAAATCATTCTCTTGATTCCACTTCTCTACCAATCTACTACTCCCATTTCCCATTTCTTTGCTCTTCTTTTCCAAAAAATCAGTGGTAAGTGTTGTCTAATGCTTTCTACTTCTAGCTCTTCTCCTATGTTCTCTTGAGCCTGTTGCCATCTGGTTTGGTTCACTGCTCTCAACAAAACTCTCATTTTCAAAGCCACCAGTGACCTCCTCATTGGTAAATGCAATGGTTAATTTCCTCTCCTTTTCTTACTTGGTGGGTCAGCAGCATTTGTAATGTTGCCCACCCCTCTTCCATACCCATTGTTTGCAAGATTCCAGGCCGGCACAGTTTTGGTTCTTGTCCTAGCTCACTGGCTGCTCCATCTTGGTTGCCCTTGAAGATTCCTTCTCTTCTCTAACCCCCTAGAGTATTCCCTCCAGTTTCACTCTTTCTAAAGACTGACATTTCCCTAATATATGTCTCCAGAGTAGACCTTTCTTCTTAAACTGCAGACTCACATATTCAATTGCCTACGTGACATCTCCACTTTGTTTAATGTGCATTTTAAAATTAGCAAGTCTAAAGCTGTCTAGCAAGCAGGTCTAAACTGGATTTGCTAGTTTAGACTGTCTTGACTAGACAAGTCAAAATTAGACTGTCTAGACTAGCAAGTCTAAAACTGAACTTCTGATAGCCCCCACCCACTCTGCAAACCCCTCCCCAATGGCACCAGAAGCCGTTCTGCTCTCAGTTGATGGGAACTCTGTTGTTCCAGGTGCTTGCTCCCAATTCTTAGCCATTTCTGTCTCCTCTCCATCTATCACCCCCCACATCAAACATATCAGCAGATCCTGCTGGTTCCACTTGCAAAAAAACATCCAGAATCCAGGCACCTTTTGCCTCCTCTGCTGCTGCCATCCTGCAGGTATCACTTTATCTTCCTTCAATTACTGTAAAAAAAGCCCTCCCAGCCGATTTCTCTGTTTCCACCTTTTCCTTCTTATAATCGATTGTAATACAGGAGTTATGTTGATTCCTAAATGGATGTTAGATTCTCTCACCTGTTCCAAACTCCTTTAGTGGTTTTGAGTAAAAGCCCATCTTTACAGTAGTCCTCAGGCCTCATTTAACCCTAACCTACCACGCCCACCTGCCACCCACTTTCTCGCTCACTAGATCTCATTCCCCCCTCACTAGCTCTCCTCCAGTCACATTTGCTTTTCTTTGCTCTTCTTAAAATACATCAGGCATTCCCCTGCCTCAGATCTTTGCACTGGCTATTTCTTCTTCCTAGAACATTCCTCCATCTCCTTTATTTTGGTACTAGGGAGTGAACCCAGGGTTGCTTAGCCGCTAAGCCACCTCCGCAGCCCTTTTTATTTTTGATCAGAGTCTTGCTACATTGCTTAGGGCCTTGCAAAATTGCTGAGGTTGGCTTTGAACTTGAGATCCTCCTGTCTCAGCCTCCCAAGCCACTAGGATTACAGGCGTGTGCCACTGTGCCTGACTCTCCGTCTCCTTTAAATATTTGCTCAATCCTCACATTCCTCATATTCTCAAGGAGTCCTGACCTATTTAAAATTGGAAAATACTTCTGTCTCCATCCTCCTTACTCCCCCACCACTTTACCTCATTTTCCTCTCCCACTGTTGTTATCACCTTGTAACCTGTCAAATAAATAATGTCTATTGTTTTCTTTCTCTTCTCCTAGAATATTTGGGTCTTATGAAGGGAGGGATCTTTGTTGGGCTCACTGATCCTAAGTGCCTAGAACAGTGGTTGGCGCTCGATGAGTATGCAGAATTTATTGCATGAGTGGTGGAATTTACTGGGTCAAAAATTCGTTTGCTGCCTGAGCACCGCCCTCCCCAGTGGCACTTGGGTTCCAGGGATTAGGGCTGGTGTGGGGCAGTGAGCCAGCACCTGAAAGATCTAGGTAGTCCCTTTCCTTAGCGAGCTGCTTGTTATCTTGTTAAGTAGCTGTAGTTCTTTTTTGATGAAGGCTAAGAGGGCTTCTTCCCTCAATGGTATCTATCTTCCTGTTCATTCAAAGGGCTGTTGGATATGAAGACTCAGGTCTGGGAATTGGGTTATGGGCTATGACTTTACTGTGGCTTAAGTCAGACCTTCCTTGTTAGACCTTTTTTTTGGGGGGGGTGTGTGTGTGTGTGTGGGGGTTATGCACAAGAAGTAGGAGTTTAATAGACTTTATCTACTTGGAGCTTAGTGGCATCTAGGGATATGGTACCTGATTAGCCCAAAACCTTGCAGATGAAAACTGCTCTAGTTTAGACACCACTTTGGCATTACTGTCTCCATAATTCTTTTGTCTCTGGCCTTTACATGCTGTTTTTTAGACTCTCACCGAGGTATCCCATCTACCCCCAGAGAAAACAGGAGCCCCATTGCAGTAGCCATGTCCTACCTGATCCCCAGCCCACAGAATCTACTACAGAGCTTCCCTCCACCCCCAATGCATTTTTTCCCCTCAGTGCTGTGATGAAGGGCTTTGGGGTACACAGAGTGGGGAAGTATCATCAGCCCAATCCAATATGATGACTCTTGGAATTTCTTTGTACATCCCAAAGTTCTGGGATTCAGCTCCAGATGATGTTGGCAACCAATGAATCCAGGTTGACTGTTTGTCAAACTGTTGGAGCCCCTCCCAGCTGCTTGGCCAGGACCTTTGCTAAGTGCCCCTGTATCAACAAATTCAATTTGATCTAAAATTACAACCAGCTTTTTCTCGAGTGACATATGGATCTTCTCATATTTGCTAGGATTTTGCCTTATCAATTAGAAGTGTTTGGAATTCTGATATGCAAGCCTTTTTCCTCCACAGGCCCCAAGCCTCCTGGGCTCTGACTTTAAGTTCTAGAAGCAATGAGACATGAAGCACATGAAAAAATCTGGTTTCCCTGTGCAAGAGAATCTAGGCTATGAGCACCTTCCAGGAGAGCCTCATCAGGAAAGGAGAAGAGCTGCTGCTTCTGGCTCAGAAGGCTCCCTGGGCTATGAGTTATTTGAGTCACCTGTGTCTCCATCCCAATTCTCAGGATCCCCCATTTCCTAATCAAGTACGAATTTTCACCTTAGAGACCTACTAGGCTGTGAATTCAGCGGATAATTCAGCATCTCACAGGATCAAAGTCTTGAGTTCATTTTTTCAGCTCAGTCCAATGGCTACCAGAAATAGAGGTTCTCTGGAATAATCATTAAGAAATTCCTTGGGCTGGGGTTGTAGCTCAGTAGTAGAGCATTTGCCTAGCATTTGTGAGGCCCTGGGTTCAATCCCCAGCACCACATAGAACTAAAATACACACACACACACACACACACACACACATATATTCCTGGCATGTTCTTTCATGAACAAAGCCACTGTTTCAAAACTTGATCACTGCTAACATTCTGAACCAATTAATTCATTGTTGTGAGGGACTGTCCTGTGCACTGTAGGATGTTTAATAGTGTCCTTGGTTTTCCTTAGTTCATTAGATTCCAACCCTCTTTCTTCCAAGATGTAGCAGCCAAAATGGTCAGATGTTCCCTGGGGCAAAGTCGCCCATAGCTGAGGACACTGCATTAATCCAAGGAATAAGGACTACGGGAATCTTGATCTTTTTCTTCTAGTTGTCAAATTCTGTTAAAAGTAGATAGTTCACCCTCAATCCTGCTTATGTTTCTCAGGTTATTGATGCTTCTCTTGGCAGTGGAATAAGCATAGGAATAATGAATTGTTCTACCATCATCACATGCCACACACTTTCTAGAATACTAGCTTAAGTCTTCCTTAACCCTAAGCAAGCCAGATAACTACTAACAGAATCACCTGTCTGGGGGCATGTTGCTTGAAACCCCTCAGAGTATCTCTATGTTAGGGTTCTGGTTACTAACAGACAAATCTACACAATTTTAACAAAAAAGGAATGTAGTTGAGGTAGCTGGTAGCTCTCAGAACTTCTAGGAAGGCCAGAGAGGCAAGCTTCAGGACAGGAATGTTCTGGTGACTACTTTTCTGCTGCTCACAGGCACAAATGCCACAGCTTGCACATGTAATGTAGCTTGACACTGGCCTGGAAGACAGACCATGCCCTGGTTGGAAAGCAAATTTTGGGGCTTCACATAGTAGGAAATCTCCCAAACACAGGTTGTTTGAATGGTATTAAGTCAGACAAAAAGTTGAGCCACTATATCAGGATGTTGAAAAAAAAATCAGAGCTACATTTTCATCAACTTCCTATTTCTTCTTCTCACAGAATCAACACAAGACATATAAGGGGGCAATTTATTAATGCTGTTCAGAAAGAAAAAGTAAACTTCATTTTCTATCACGTTGGAGGCTACTGGCTTAATTCATGTTGTTATTATTTTCACTGATATTTTTTATCATGAGCTGTATAAAATGTACTGCAAATAAAAATTATTTTCATTCCAATGGAGAAGAAAATTACAGGTTCAAAAAAAATCAAGTTTAATATCAAAAGAAGTTACACATAAAGGTTTCTACATTTCTACAACCTGATAGTTAAAATTTCTCAACCTTGTGTTGACTGAAGGATTCATGTGAACCCTTAGAAATATTTATTTGGAAGCAGAAGTCTCTGCTCGTAAACTGTGCATGGCAGAACAGGATTTTCATATTGACAGACCTTAGAACATGAGTTTTTTTCCAAAATATTCAATAACTGTTCTTTGTCAAGAATGTAGAGTGCTTTGGAGCATAAAGCAGAAATTCTTAATGAGAGGGTGCCAATTCACCATAGCTCCTGTCTTCAGGGGAGTATTTACTTGGAGGATCAAAGTTCGAGGCCAGCCTATGTAACTGTGTGAGTCCCCGTCTCCTGTGTCAAAATTTAAAAATAGCAAGGGCTGAGAATGTAGCTCAGTGGTGGGACAGTCCTGGGTACAATCCCCAGTGCCAAAAAAAAAAAAAAAAGTCTCAGGACAAACAGGATTCCACCTGGCTCGCTAGCAGCAAGCCCAAACCCATTACAGTCCAGAACTGTGTGACTTCTTATACTTGCATATGAATGCTTCTGTTTTTCCTAAGCTAACTTTGTAGTATTCCACTGGCACCAAAGAGCCAAAAGGTGACATTTTGTTTAAGCACGCGTTGTTACTGGTTTCATGTGAAGATGGAACCATCTCTGATGTGCCAGTGTTTTCTTCAGGATTCAAGCATTTCTTAATTTCAGGTTCATGGGTGTGGCTGCCCTTGGAGTTGAGAGGGCTATTGCCCTCTCTGCAGTCTTTAAGGAGCCTGTGGTGATCTTCATTAAGCAACAAGACAATGGTTCCACCAACATGCAGCACTCTGTGACAAAGAATGGGGTAATTAGGATGAGTACTTCTTTCTTTTTAGACAACAAACAATCCTGCTTTATTTAAAATAGTTGTTTTTAATTTGAAATTTAATTTTCTCTATTTAAATACAAGGATTTTTGGTAATTAGGTAGTATCTTCCATAATGCATATTCATTATAGTAATTATTGAATCTCTAGTACAAATCTGCTTTAATTATCTATTTTTACTCTACTTAAAAGGCAAGCCTCAAAGTAATTTGTAGTCACATTCTAATAAATGATTGTACAGAGAAAAAGGCAAGTGACAGAGTCTACAGAATCAGCATATTTGAGTAGGCAGGATGATGGCAGGAGAAAGTCACCAGGGAGGAGTTAGGACATGAACAAAGAGATGGCAAAGGGAAGTTCAGACAAAGCGGGGCAGACCGTGACTATCGCCCTTTGAGGAGGATTCATTTACAGCCTCAGGTGGAACCATGACAAGGTGCAGATTTACTGAGCACTGGGGGAGAGGCACGGGAGGAGTGCAGGGGGTGATAAAGGCCACCATGAAGGCACATGTAAAGGCCCTGGAAACACACGAGGTGGGTCCCAATCCAGGCACAGGTGAGGGGAAAATTCCCCAATAGTGAGATGTCTGTGTGGTGAGTTGAAGGACAAGCAGGACTGATCCAGGAAGTCGTAGGCTGGAGCTAGGGAGGTGGCTGGAGGCAGAAGAGGTGAGACGCAGGAAGGCATGAGGTGGAGAGTCACTGAAAGCCACCAGCCTTATGGGGAAAACCGAGGTTAAGAGGAGGAAGAGTAGAGTTCAGTTTGGAAAGTGCCTGAGGAACGCACAGTGCAGATTCCCAGATAGCAGGGTACTCAGTTTAGAAGCACCGAGAAAGACCAAGCTTGAGGTAGAGGGACAAGAGCTTTCATTAGTGAAAGGCAGACAAAGCCATAGGGTGGAGGGGGTCATCTGGGTGGCAACAGAGTGAGAAAAAAAAAGACTAAGGAAGACATAGGAGGTCTGAGGAAGGACAGAGGAGAGGAGCACAATGAACAGATACCATAAGAGAACAATCTGGACAACTGTGATGTCCTAGAAGCCCAAGACGTAGTTTCAAGAAGTGGGTGGTCTCACAGTGTCAAATGCTACAGGACTAACAAGGACCAGGATTATAAGATGTCATCAGACAACCCGGGGACAGCAAGCCTAGATGAGGACAGGAGCAGATAGACATGGGTCTGCTGGGGTTGAGTGAGAATGGGAGGTGAGGAAGCAGAGATATCAAGTATGGACTGTTCAAGAAATTTAGTTATACAGGTAAGGAAGCTAGAGGACCAAGGGTCACAGGGAAAGACTGAAGCACGAAGGGAGCTTTCTTTCATCGATTCCATCAGGAAACCCAGATAATTCTGTCTCCACACTGTTTCACATGTTCATCTGCATATTCATATTCTGTCTGGACTTAGTAACAATCTCCTGATAGACAGGCCTTATTTCCATTCTTAGTATCCCTCCCACTCTCCTTCCTAGTTTCCACACAGAAGACAGATGCAAATGCTTGCTAACTCTCCAGCTGCTCTATGGCCCTTCAGTCAGTTCAATCTCCCTCCACAACCGACCTCACCTACGGCTGCTGCCTGCCTGCCTCCCTCTGCAGTGACCTTCCTTCAGCTGCTCGACCTTACCAGCCGATGCTGCTCACCTTGGCACTGCTGGTTCTGCTGTTTGCTGTACATTTAACTCTCATCCCTTGCGTGCTTTCTCATTAAAGTCCCAGAGTTCAAATGTCACCTCTATGGAGCAGTCTTTCTGACTTTCTACCTGTCTCTGGTAGCTACTACTCTTCTCTTACTCTCCAGCAAAATATCCTATTTTATTTGACTTATGATCTGGAATGACCCTGTGTGTCAACTCATTAACAATCCATCTTCCCATACAGGGCGGTCTGGGGCCTGTTCTGTCCTAGTCGATGCCTGTATCTATCCTCAGGACCTCGTGCAGTGATGAACTGTGTAAATACTCACAAAGTATATGGGGAAAAATGGCCGATTCTCTGGGAAAAAAATGAGGAGAAAATTAAGCTGAAGGTAGGAATGAGAAGTGGGCAGAGTGCTATCCTTGAGGAGGAGGGAATGAGCAGGATACCCTGGCCAGAAGAGAGACTTTTCCTGAGACAAGGAGGTGGGATGAAGACAGATGCAATTGTATACCATGGGACACAAGCAAGTAAACATACAAATGTCTCTAAACACATACATTACAATTAAAATAATACATGAGATATAACCCTTCTACCCACTGTATTAACAACGATTAAAATAAACAATTGAGATTATGAGAAAATGAGTACTCTTAAAGAGGGAAATGTTTTGGAACAGTAACTATCAATAATGTATCAAAAATAAAAAATGTACATAACCTTTATCCATCTATTTCACTTCTAAGAAATTATTCTAAGAAGATATAACAGCAGTAGTAGAATAATATTGATAATGTGATGATAGAAAATATTTATTGAGCACTTATCATGTACTAGGCACAATTTAAAATATTTTGTATTACATATTATTTAACACTCTGATTTGTCCTTTTATGTATGGCTGGTTAGCATTGTAATTTTAAACATGAAGCAACTAAGATACTGGTTTTAAGCAACTTGATCATATAGTAAGTTTGAAAAACTGTAAAAATGTTCAAGGCACTGTTCTTTATTAAAATAAAAAAAATTGAGGATTACCTACATCCATAAGTATTGGTTACATAATGGTAACACATATAATACTGTGACAATTATTGGAAATTATAATGTACAATACAACTGATCATAAAGGAGATTCATGACATACTGCTGAGTGGGAAAAAAGCAAGATACAGTAAATTAACAATGATTCTACTTAACAAGTATCTATTTATACCGAAGTACAAGGCAAGATGCCTATCACCAACTTATTTACTATAATTTTTTTAAAATAATGGAGGCAATAAGAAAGTAAAACTCACATGGAAATTTAACATTTTGTAGGCATATTTTCATTTACATATAATTTCTCACTAAGAAAGCTATTAAAAAATTACAAAGCAATATTTCCCAAACTGTATCCCCTTGAACACTAGCATATGGGGTATTTGATGATGATAATGATATTATTTCTTGAAAAGAAATTTTGTGGTTCATAAGTTGGGAACACTCTGTATCAAACAAGATAAAAGAGAGACCTGTAAGACCAGAGTAGATGACATGAATAATTCTAAATTATTTGACCATGAAATATAGTAGGTCTTACCCACGTACTAAGTCCTCTGCTCCAGGCGGTCTGCTCTACTCACAGTCCTTGAAAACACCTTTCCTTCAGTATTCACTCAAACATTCACCAAACATCTGTGGTCTCTTTTTATTCTCTCTCAACTTCTAAATTCACTGAAATTTTGCTTCTTCCCTGATCATCTCATGTCTTTCTGTCACATAAGACTGCCTCCACCTTCAAGCTGAGCAAGCTGAATTTCTAATTTTGCTCATATATTTTACATGGCTATATTTAGAAAGAAAACCCATATTAAACTTCCCTAAATTCCTCAAAATGCTCTGTATTCATGAAATGGGTAATATTTAAATGAATTAAAAGAGGAAATAATTGAGCTGAGAGTGCCTAATTCAAGTCAATAGAGTAATCATTTGTCTGACAAACTTTAATTCTGATGCATGCACGATACTACATATAGGATCAGCTATTTCCACTGCTTATTATGAACAGGTTTACTGACCTCTTGTAATTTTTTCTTCTTTTTATTAATAAAACTCCCCATCTCTTTCAATTCTTATATAAGGCCTAAATCATCAGTAAATCACTGGGAGAGGTTATGTGTACTTAAATTTTTATATGTATCACCACTTCCTTCCCAAAGGATCTGAAGTAGTTTACACTAAAAAAATCAGGCAAGAGCTAATGGATACTGAGCATTTTCTAGGTGCCCAGCATTGTTCTAAAAGCTTTAAATCTACTGAATCCTCTGAACAAGGCTTCAAGGTAGGTGTTAAGATTTAAAGATTATGCACAAGGTGTGAAGTCAGGCAGTATGCCTATGACTGAAGAACTATGAGGAGTTAGAGCCAATACTAGAACCCAGGCAGCCTGGCTCCAAAGCCTGTTCTCTTAACCCTAGCATCCTGTCTTTTCTGTATCAAACCTCAAACCACAAGAAGTTGAAAGTCAGATCACAGAGGTTGGGGCAGGTGGCAAGGAAGCCTGGGTACAGGAGATGGAAAAGTCCCTTATATTCAAATGCACACACTTTGAACTAGTCCTATGGAGGTGCTCTAATTATGCAGGAAATTTGACTATTCATCTTTTGGATTCTCAGGTAAATATTAAAATTTACTGCCATGGTAAAAGGGTAGTCAAATCTATCATTATTTCACTTTCAATTACTTGGAATAAAATAAAAAACCAGCCTAGATAATGTCAGGCTGGTATAATTTACTAGTGCTGAAAGGACTGTCTATTCAAATTCCTACCCATTCACTCCTGACTTGTGGAGATACATAAAATAGGCAGCACTAGATTTTGAATTAGGTTGAGTCATCTTTGTTCTGAAAAGGTCCAGGTTAAATGCATGTCACTGATCACATATTAATATCTCACTGTGAATCGGTTAATGATATAAATGGTGAATTACCTTATTAGGCTCAAAGGTTTAGTTATTAATCCTGCTTGCACAACAATTATACTAGGAGTTTTTAAGAAGTACTCACATCCAATGGAGTTACAGAAGATAATGCTAAGTGCAGTTAGCTAATCCCAAAAAACCAAATGCCGAATGTTTTCTTTAATATAAGGAGGCTGATTCATAGTGGGATAGGGAGAGGGAGCATGGGAGGAATAGACAAACTCTAGATAGGGCAGAGGGGTTGGAGGGGAAGGGAAGGGTCATGGGGTAATTAATGATGGTGGAATGTGATGATCATTATTATCCAAAGTACAGGTATGAAGACACAAATTGGTGTGAATATACTATGTATACAACCAGAGATATGAAAAATTGTGCTCTATATGTGTAATAAGAATTGTAATGCATTCCACTGTCATATATAAATAAATTTAAAAAAAAAGAAAGAAAGAAGTACTGACATCCAGGTCCTACTTCAGATCAGTTAAATTAGAGCCTTGGTAGAGGGTAGCTGGGAAAGTGGGGCATAAATATTAAAAAAAAAAAGTTCTGCAATGATTTTAAAATGAAAAATATGCAATGTGAAACTGTAGGGGAATGTGATACTAGGAAGCAGGGAGTATATGGGTTTCAGGAGATGTCTGAATTAAGAGTTGGTGCTCAGAAAGAAAGGTCCCTAAAAGTTAGGTAACTGGGCAGGAGGGGAAGTGGCTTAGAAATAAGACAATTCAAAAAGAAGTGTGAAGCACCCAACTTACAAGACACAGTGAGATGGCTCTGACTTGGGCTTAGACTTTGAGTCAAGCTTTAATTTTGTGTACTGTCATCCTTGACACTGAAGTTTCTCCAATATGTGTTCATTTTTTAAGAATATGTGACACATTATTCACATGGTAGACTTACGACATTTATGTTATCCTAGTATATCAAATAAAAGTCCATATGAAACAACTTAACATGAATTGATCTTTTTTGGTGTCTATTCATTCCTGTAGCATTCTAGGTTCACGCCTTTACCAACTTAAATAATGAGAAAAATACATATCTAGGTTTCACTGTTTGAACCCCTCTATTAAATTATATTCCCTGATGTCAAATTAGAAGCCCTGAGATGAACAATGTCCTGTGCTGCACTTTCATTTCACAGCCAATGCTGGCCTTGTTCCTTGTTTCTTGTGACAGGATTCCTTTCAGTTGTTTTAGCATCAATTGTGATCATGAGGAAGTTCAACTTTCTGGGATTCAGTTTCTCATCTGTAAAGTGTTGGTTTTTGTGAGGATTAGAAATATATATGTAAATTATGTAGCCCAGTGAATGAAATAGAAAAATTTTTTTTTCCTGAATAAAATTTACAGTACAAGATGATATGGAATAACATTTATTTCAATTATAAACTTCTGACTTGAAATCTTAAGAAATTAAACCATAAAAATCTGGGAAAAATAATGCAATCAGATGTTAAGAGCAATGATATATTTTGGTTTAATGCCCAGAAGCTAAAAAATTATGAAAATAAATTCAACAACTCACCTTTCCATTTCCTGTAGAATGCTTTTGATGTCTTTTCCTAATTTAAACTTTTTTCCAAATGGAATGTCAGAAATAATAATATCGACACTGTCTGAAGGCAGTGGCAATTCTGAAATACAGAAATCAGAGAATCCTATTATAGTAAGGTCAAATATTGTAATGTAGATAATGAGAAAACTGAAGTACACAATTAATTTTGCATGTTGAATAAAATTTAGGGTTGGTAATATTGCTTCGAGGTAACCACATGATCTTAAAATGCTTTCTAAATATCTAAAGATTAATAGTTATTTACTGTAATTTGTCCTTTGAAAAAATGGGTTTTCAAATGTTATAAAATGATGTAAGTTTAGTGGAATTTTAAATTAACCAGAAAAACTCAATTTTCTAGACATATTACATGCACAGACAGCTGTGGGATTCAGGAAGAAATATGTTGTCTAGAAAATGTTTTTACAACATTATATTCTATTTCCCTTTCATTATTATATATAAATTTTTGTAAGATAGGTTTCAGTTTCTAAGAGAGAATCCACAACTATCATTATATTTTTCAGGGGGAACTTAAAAAGTTAAAAATATCTATAAAAGCCCTAAGATTAGAGAAAAAGCTATAAGATCAAAAATCAACACCATGAATATCATCGCTAAACAAAACTAAATACGGTATCTGATCATTAAATTGAAATTTCCTGCTCCTCTTAACATTTTATTCTCAGCATTACATTTCTATAAGGCAATATACCCAACCTTCGCACCCAGGTTTCCTGTGTGTGTCTTCCCCTTTCCCACCCATCAAGTCAATCAAGTATGCATAAGGTAGAAGGGTTCTCAAATTTCAATGCAAAAATGCAACCTAATCCTATAGAAATGCAATAAAGTTTAAATAATCTTTGTTAAATATCATATAAATTTTGGTTGGCAGGAAATTTAAAAGCAAAACAAAAATTCCTCTTATCTGGCAAAATCTAATGACCACTTGCTGGCTGTCTCCTAATCCTAAACCTTGTGAGAGAGCAGCAGAAAAGCAGAGTGTTAGAAAAAAGGCAGTAGTATCTTTTAAACCTAGGCAGGAATTCTTTTTTTTTTTTTCCATTTTTGTTTGTTTTGCAGTTCTAGGAATTAAATTCCAGGTAAGCATTCTATCATAAGCCAAAGCCCACCCAAGGTATGTTTCACTTCATGTGCTGTGTTTTAGGGTGCTGATACTGAACACATCCATTTCAGCCTTTCTATACTTTTTGCAAAATGACTAAAGACAATAAATAACGAAGGAAATCACAGTGATCAAATGTTTTACATATAAGGAAATACAACATATTCAACTTTGCTTAATTACAAGTCTTTCTTCTGCCTGATACACACACAGCACCTACCCGTAAATTAGTTTATTAGTTGCCCAGTTTGTCCAGGTTGGGTAATCTTCTTCTTCTTTTTTTAGTTCTGGTTGTTCTCCATTTTTTCTATATTATATAATTTGCTAAACTGATTTATAAATAACTTTAGAAGGAATAAAATTCACATAGCTAGACAAGACTAATTTTTTAAAAAGTTCTAGAATTAAGCAGTGACATCTTCCATCCAAGGACGAAATAATCTGAACTTCCGTTGCTGTGGTGTGCAGTGCAGGCTGACAGCCTGCTGTGTTTGGCTCTGAGACTAGTTACCTATGGGACTCTGGGAGGCTACTGCTTCAGTTTCCTCATTGTAAAATGGAATGGCAGTGCCTACCTTAGAAGTTAATAAATGGGGGAAAACATTTACAACAGTGCCTGGCACATGGTGAGCACTCCATGAATACTAGCTATTTTTAAATTATTATTTACAGTGTCCTCTCTGATGTCTATAGGAGATGACAGTCAGGTGGAGCCCAGTGGGCCAGAATCCTTCAAAGAGCTCAAAAAACTTCTAAAACTGTGAGCACCTAACCTGTAGGACTAAATACAGAGTAAAGACTTTTTAATTATTAAATACTTTAAACTGCCTATGAGTATGCCTGTAACTAAAGAGATAAGACTAAAATAGAAATAGCTCAAAACAAGCAAAAATCATTTTTTTTTAAACATCTCTTCAGGATGATTGAAGAACATGAAAAAAATAGTTTTAAAATACTAGTTGCTTTGAATAAAAGAACTGCCCCATTTTCCCCTTTTCTGAGAAAAAAGTGGGTAAAAATTGCCTAAAACTCATTATGGCACCCAGGTATTTTCTTTCAGAAGGTTTTATGGGCTTTCCAGGTATCTTTTTTATGTATATACTTAACAAAGACTAGGTTGTTTGAGGGCTTTTATAGAATTGATTACATTCTTCTTCCTACTTTCCTTCCTATACTTTCTGCTGTTTGTTATTCTTTCCAGTGTCCAGGTTTATTACTTTGATGTCTGTCACATAACAATAATTCCCATAGTTATTTAAAATTAGTTCTATATTTAAATTAATTCAATCTCTGTTCCTCTGCTGATTCATCTCTTAAATGTCTGGATTTTATTAAAAATTCCCCCTGCCAAAAGCCTATTACTGAAATGTTGCCTGAACTGTTTCATATTGAAAATGTCTCCTCAAAAATAACATTTTAGTTATGTATAATATTTCTGCATCACATTCTGCTTCAGTAACCTTATAAATAGGGATCTCAGAACATTATAAATAAACACTATTCTATTGGCAATTGCTCTATAACTTTGCTTATTTCCATTGTGGCCAAAATAAAATTAAGTTCACTGCATTAGATCATTTTCCCTTCTTTAGTTGCTGCTGATAGATTTTTTCCCTTATCTTTATTATTCTTTTTTCTCATTTCAATTAAGTGTAAGAGAATGCAAATCCTTCACTGAAATTTTAATCTGCCATCTTGATCCAGAAGTCTATAATAATTAAATAAGCACCATATAGTGTGGCATGTGGATTGGTTGCCCTACAATAATACAGTCAGGAACACTGCCAAGAATGAGGATGCTAGAAAGAAAAGTTTATACTTACGAAATACTTACTATTGGTTTAATATGGGGAACCTAAAAATAAGGATCCATGCACTTTTAAAATAGTAATAGGCAAAATAGTTCTGGTATATATTCACCCACACACTGACCAGCTTCGTAAATGTATTAGTCTCTAATCCCATGTCATCACTGGTATTTTTCTGAAGAATACAGTGTTTTTAAAAATAGGAACTTTAAGTTGCCTTTTTAATAAAATGCCTGTGATCTTCAAAGCTTCACTTTCATGTTTAAAAACTTCTCTTAAATTACAATATGTTTATCTGAGGAAATACTTTGTTTACATGTGCTAAAGTAACTCTAGAGATCAGAGCAAATTTTGCGAAATGGAAGATACTCTTGACTCTTCTCAATTCTATTTTTTTTTCATATAGATAATGTAAATATTTCAGTTCTCCAGTTCACAGTTCTTCCAGAATGCCTTTGACAAATATTTCCACAACACAAAATTCAAGTTGACTCTACTATTCTTTTGTTTTGCCAAATTTAGATACTGCAAAATTAAGGCCTTCTCAATTTCATTCCATTCCATTTTAGAAGACACAGATGTCTAATTAAAATGATGAAAGTCATCAAGAGATTCTTCCTACAATATATCCAAAGTACATTTACAGAATTTGAGAATTAAATCTCGAAGATTACTGAGCTTGAAATAATGTGTTCATGTCTTTCTTGGTGTTTTTAGAGATAGATTTAAATGTCTTCCTGTTGCCAACTTTGTTTTTAATAACTGCAATTCACAAAAAAATTCAAAAGCGACAGTTCTGTTAGTCCATTTGCTGAAATCTTTGATTACAGATCACCAATGGATTTTGAACAAAATGAAAACAAAATTAGGCAACTTGTTTATCTTTTAAGCAAAGCCTATAGCACTACCGTAGGACTGCTTTACAAAGTAGTTCTTCAAAAGCTTCAAATTTTAAATCCAACTAATGACAGAGAGAAAGTGTATCACTACACTGCAGTATAGTTTTGCATTCAAGCAAAACTTCATTGCAAATAGCTTGCAGTCAATTACTCTGTGTATGTTTAAAAAATAAAGTGCTGATTATTTTAAAAACTATATCAATTGACAGAAGGCTGCAAACCAGAGGTAATTACGAGTTATATGGTACCATGTTAAATTTCAGGTACTTTACTCCGTAGGTTTTAGCAAGATATGAATTTTTCTCCTGTGTTGGTCTACCAAATTAATGCATAAGTGGAGACACATGCAATGCTGAACTAAATTTATGGTAACATTTACAAGGATGTTTCATTTTTCACAAGGAAAAATCTACATTTCCAAGAATTAGGGGGGAAAAAGCTGAACTACTACTGGAATTGGCTTAATTTGATTTTATTTGGAAGCATCCAAAGATGTTGCTACAAAACTGGCAATATTTGTCTGCAAAGGTCTTCTAGTGGAGCTAAAATATCAATAGCCATAGTTTCATTTTGCTTATGCGCATGAGAAAACTTGGAATTGAATATGAGCAAAATTAATTTAGAAGAATAGTCATTTAATCTAAATGAAAAGTCATGCTTCATGGAGTGATACTTAAATGCATTTTCTTCAGCTTCATGTGATAAATAATTGGCTTTGGCCAAGTATCCTTAAAATAACTGCTAGGTTTTGAAGTAAATGCTAGATACTGCCATACATAGATTTCTTTCATTTGGGCCCTCATAGTAGATGGTAAATGTCAACAGACATTTTACTCAAGTTATGTGTTCATCATTAGCTTTCTTGAGAAATGGAAACTCAGTACTTTTTAATTTAAAATGCATGTTTAAAAAATTTATTGCTGCTAAAAAAGTTTATTATAAAACAGAAGTGCTACTGAACAATAAAATGATACCATATGATCATCCAATACACACAATAACAGTAGTGCACAACAAAGGAAAAGACCTTTGCTGCCAGGACACTCTCTAGGTGGTGAGCTTCTTTCCCCTATTTCCTACACATACTTCATGGACAACCCAACAATCAGGTTCCACTTTCCCTGACTCTCCAAATCAGGTAGTCGGGCAGCTTCACAAATCTTGTAGAAGACGGCATGGGCCACGAGATGCTGTGCTGAAAGAGTAGGGGCCAAGGCAGTGTGGGCAGGATGAGCAGCAGGAAAATGCACTAGCATGAAGGAAAATGTAACCATGCATGGTGCATGGACAGATGTGGTGGAAAAAGCCCATCCTACTACTGGCAATAAACGCCACCTGAGAACAAAGTACAGTAGTTGCAATAATCTTGTTGTTTTATACTCTACCACTGATGTGACATGTGACAGCCTGTAGAATGTCTAATCGGGAATGCTGAAAACATTCCTTTTTACCTACATATCTTATTTTATTTTATTTTTTTTGTACGGGGGATTGCACTCAAGGGCACTTGACTACTGAGCCACATCCCCAGCCCTATTTTGTATTTTATTTAGAGACAGGGTCTCACTGAGTTACTTAGCACCTTGCTTTTGCTGAGGCTGGTTTTGAACTCACAATCCTCCTGCCTCAGCCTTCAGAGCTCCTGGGATTATTGGCATGTACCACTGTGCCCAGCTCCTACCTATGCTGTTCATATTTTAACTAAATCATAAATGTGTTTCTCTGGCTCAAATCTGATTGTTACAGCTTTCATCTTATATTGAGAATGTACATATATCCATAGATTAAAACCCAAACAGTGATTAACCGTCATTTCCTAAGATAACTTATAACATAATATTCATTTGATTCTTAACTGCCATGATGATTAAAACTCAGGAATAAATACACACAATTTCTTTTTTTTATAGTAGTACAGAGTTATAAAACAAAGTGAATATTACTTTAAAAAGTAGAAAAAAATAAATTCATTAAAGCACAATAGAGAGAATGAGATTGTGTAGAAACATAAATAATGATGGGTGTTTTAGGTATAATGTGTTTGTACGTCAAAATCAGTGATCAAATAAAAAAGAAGAATATAATGTTGCAGGAGAACAGAAAAATTGCTCATTTGCTATACTTGAGGCACATGAGAAGGGAGGTATCCCAGTGCACAAGTGGTGAGACATGCTCTGGGACTGGAGAAGGCAGACGGGAGGACAGTAGTTTTGAGAAAGGTCACAAACTAGCAGCAGAGGTTAGTGCACATTTCCATATGTCTTAGACATAACCACACATACAGAGGTCTTTAATTCACAATATGTATTAGGCACTATGCCATATGGATTAATGTATAAATGCTCACCAAAGCCTCAGAAAGTAGGTATTATTATCGTCATCTTGTAAATACAAAGAATACAGAGAGGTTCAGATTTCTCAGAAGGCCACACAGAAAAGAAACAACAATAAAGCCAGAATTCACACATGTTCTTAGTTACAACAGTCAATAGGTGTGAGATCCTGAAATCTGTCAGTGTTAAAAAAGGATTCATGGGTCTCAGCATTCTAAATTTTACTTATGATGAGAACCGTTAAAGAAAAAATAATTTAGTTAGAATATCCACCTCTAACATAGAGATATGAAACAGAGGGCTGATAATTAAAGAGTTAATACTGGCTCTCTTAGTAAGATCTACAGATCCCCAGACTGAAATTCACCATTAAAGTCTATGATGATAAAACAGCTTACAATAGATGCTTTAGTCTTTCTTCCTGAAAGCCATTCTAAAAACAAGTAACTCACAAAAGAAAAATCTATAAATGACATTACATGAAAAACATTCAACTCAGTAATAGTCAAAGAAAGGCACTTAAACAAACTAAATTTGCAAAGTTTTAAAAACTGTAATAAAAATAGTGATACATCAACAAAGGCTTCTGGAAACGTGCACTAACCTCTGCTGCTAGTTTGGTGTGACCCATCACAACTCTACTGTCCTCCTCTCTGCCTTCTCTTGTCCTAGGAGTGCATGTACCACCACTTGTGCACTGGGATACCTCCCTTCTCAGGCACCTCGAGGATGGTAAATGAGCAATTTTTTTTTCTCTTCTGCAATGCTATATTCTTCCTCTTTATTTTATCATTGATTTTTGACATACAAACACATTGTACCTAAAATTAATTCTGATTTCTATCTTCTAAAAAAATTCTCATTTAAGGTTGGGGATGTAGCTTAGTGGCAGAGCACCTGCCTGGCATGTGCAAGGCCATAGGTTTGATCCCCAGCACTGAAAACAAACTAACAAACACACTCTGTTTGATTCCCAGTATTCTTCCTTTCAGTTACTACCCCATTCTTTGCTCTCCTTACCAACCAAAGTGCTCCTGAGAATGATCTAAACTAGCCCTCATGGGGGCTCTGTGATTTGCCTTGCATGCTCGAGGTCCTGGGTTCAATCCCCAGTACAGAAACAAAACAAAACAAAAAACCCCACAGAAATTCAACTAGCCATCTCTAAGTTCTTCTCTCCCACCTCTCATGCCCACTCCAGGCAGGCCTATGTTCTTGCTGCTCCACAGAAACAACCCTTGGCCTCAGTTTACTTCACCGACTGGCAGTGGGTCCCACAGCTGGTTACCCTCTCTTCCCTGGATCCTCTCACATCATTGGCTATTCCTCGAATAGATACTCAGTTCTAGCACTCAAAGCATCTGAATGTGCTCAAGAGCGCAGTTCTTTCCTTTCACTGTTTATACTCACTCCCTAAATGATCTCATGGATTTAAATGTTATCTGTACTCTCCAACTCCAGATTTGCATGCTGGGCTACTAACCTGACATCTTCTCTACACGGTATCTGATAATCATGTAAAACTGAAAAGGTTCAAAACTCTTAACTTGTTCTTCCTTCAGGCTTCCCTGCACCCTCTGGCTGCTTTCAGTTGTTATTCTCATTCTTGCTCTCACACTCCATTGCCCAATCCAACAACAAATCCTGTTTGATCTACTTTCAAAGATAAATACTTGACCTCTTTTCCATCACCTTCAGGTACTCCAATTCAGCCCAAGCCACCATCTTTTCTTACTGGACTACTGCAACAGTCTTTGCTTCCACCCTTGCTCCACTAGTCTATTCTTACCATGGGAGTTAGAGGGATACTTTCAAAAACTAGGATTTGTTTGGTTACCTGATGCCACAGAGAACTCCTTTTGTTTTAAAAACAGTGGAGTGTCTTTGCTTTTTTTTTTTTCCTTAAAGTAACACTTCATGGGAAATGCCTCCAAAATGAAAACAGATAAAAGTGAAGGGGTGTGGTGGGGGTCTGGTAGGCAGCTCTATGTTCCTTTCCTCATGCCTATAGGGTGCTCTGGCAAATGTAAAGGTTCCAAACCACTGCTCTGGATCAGCTGATGAAATGATTCCAGTTTCCTTAAAGGTCTCAGAAACATTTATAAGGAAATTAGGGTCTATGATAGCTGATTTCAGTCTGATCGTCTCTTAGTTTACTTTGGAAACTTGTGTCTTATGCACAGAGTCCTACTGGACTATTGGCAGAATGGCTAAAATGCAGTCACTGGCCACAATCAACTGTGAGATCTCAATGACCCTGGCTGCTTTATTATGCTTTTACACAGAAGTTATCCTCATATTTTGTTCTGTTGATACTCATCTTTCCTACTTTTCCATTTTAACAAAAAATTTTAAATGATATTTTGTTCCTCTTGACTATAGGCTTGATACCTATCCAGTGCCAAGAAAACTCAAATTCCTTAGCTGGAAATGAAACATGACATTTTTAAAGAGAGGTGTGTTAAAGAAACAGAAGAAATAAGAAACGTGAGGTTACTTTATAATAATCTGAATACCATGGATATTAGAGAAACGTTATTTTGACAGGACTCTACAGATCTGATTCCCAGTCAAGTTTGTCACTGCTGATATCATATCAGTAAAGAAGCAGCAATTGTTTCTCTATCTCACAGGTGACCAATGGTCCAGGGTCCAGATTTGCCCCAGGCCTTCCTGGCTTCTTGAAAGTACTAGTTTTGCAAACTGTGACAGGTAGTTACTTATTCCTGTATATATCAGGGGCACTATCTAATGTGAGGTAGGAAGAAGGAAAAATAATTCAGAACAGTTCATATAGTTTATCTGAAAGAAATTAAAATTATTACTATTATACTATTATACTGCTGTCTAATGCCTATATTATCTGGTCCCAGATTATGAAATAAGAATAATTGAGATGCAACAAATACCACTTGAAAAGGCATGCTTTTACTTAAATGCTAATGTTTTAAATGTTGCTTCTCAATCATAAACCTTTTGAAAAATTAAAAAGTTACAATTCTGGAAGTAATCTGAGTTTTAGCCCCATAGATATATTATAAGGTACAGAAATTAAGTCTTTATATATAGAAAAATGATCTTGCTTTTATTATCTTACCTATAACAGAGACTTTAAGCAACTCAATTTTATCCTTAAGGCCTGCAGCTTTCAGATTGTCACATGCGCCAAGTAACTGTGAGTCGCTGACATCAGCACCCATATAGTACGCACTCTATGGGGAAATAAAGTCATGTATGTTTTCAGTATAAATACAACTGTTAGATATTTCAGTAGTTAAGGACATCTTGTGTTTTCTCAAATGGTGAAAATTAAATCAATAATTAAAAAAATTCAAGTTATAACAAAATTTATAGTGTTCTTTTATAAGAATACTATATAAATTAAAAATTAAAAGTTTTTATTAAAATTTTAAAATCTATTAATGTTTTACCATTACAAATGTCTAAACACTTTGAGGATTGATATAATCTAATCCCCATGATTAATTATTGGAATCCTGTCACAGAGAAAAGAAGTAACACAACAATTTAATCAACTCTTCAGAATCGATTTTAATAATAGGGAATTGTACTCATATAATAAAAATAATCCCTAAACAGACAATCTACTTGTAAATAACTGGCAAGAGATCACACATGCTGATTAAAGTAAATACATTACTTAGTTTACACCAAACTTTACAACTTACTGGCCATTCTTTAGCAGCTTCCAAAAGTATTGTTCCAAGTCCGCACATTGGGTCTAAAACAAATGCACCAGGCTATAAACAGAAATACAAATTAGGTATTATTAAATCTACCATAATAGGTCTACCATAAAACAAGTCTTCTTCCAACCTGGAGAGTCCATATTTCAGGAGTAAAGATTCCTTTTTATACTTTTAATAGGCATTTCAGGTAGTTAAAACCTTAAAGCAGGAATGTGTTTGCCATGTTTGAAGATTCGGAGGGAGGCCCCTGTGGCCAAAGCAAAATGAGAGAGAGGAAAAAGATGGCGATATCATCAGGGAGGTAGCCAGGGGATGCCATCCAGGAGAGCTGGATGGGGTATGCTGCAGGTACGACAACCCCCAAACCTCAGAGGTCTAAACCAACATCTAGCTCATACTACACACCTGCATTAGGATACCCAGGGCCTCTGCTCCTCACTCTGGAACCTAGGCTGAGAAAGCAGTCACCCTCAGAATACTGCCAGCACCATGGCAGAGGGAGGGAAAGCATGACAAATTGTGCCAAAAGGTGCCACATCATTTCCACTAGCACTTAAATGGCTGAAGTCAATGGACACATGGTTTCAAGGATCCATGAAAGCAATCTTATCTGTACTTAGGAGGAGAATAGGAAATTGGAGGAACAACTCATCACTCCCCACTCTGGAGATCACATCATGTCAGATCTAGTAGGTACTGTAAGGATTCTAGTTCTATTTTTAAGGATGAGCAACTAGTAGAGGGTCTGAGTAAAGGAGTCACATGATATTAGGAGACAGGATATTTCAAGGGAATCATCTGTCTGTTCTGCCAACCACAGACCATAGAGTGCTAAGAGTGCTAACCAGAAACTAGTTAGGGAGTCCAGGCAGGAGACGATGGTGGCCTGGATTAAAAGCAGTTGGATTCTGAATATATTTTAAAAGGTAGTACCATAAGGAAGAATCAGATGTGGAATATTAAAGAAAGACAACAGTATGGAATGACTCAACCTTTTTCAGTTGAGCAGTGGAGAATAGCTGCCTGTTACCGAGACGGGAAAAGAGTTGGGGAGGAAAAGATTTGGAGGAAACAAGAGCAAACTTCTCTAGACATGTTAATTTTGAGAAACCTCTCAGACCTTCAAGTATAGACATCAACTGAGTCAGTGGATGTATGAATCTAGAGTTTAAGGGTTCAAGTCACAGATATTAATTTGGGAACAGACTCTATGAGTGCTCTTTTTACAAAATAGTCTACATTTATAAATGGTATTTAACACAGTGGAACTGATGGGATCATCTAGGGAAGTTAAAAGGGAAGACTATATGTTAGGGCTTGGAGATCTAAATACTGATGTTTAGAAGATGAAGATCTAGATCTGCAGAATGAGAAGCATTGTATATGAATGTAGGAGGGGAACCTAGAGTGGAGGTTCTGAAACAAAGTGAAAAAATCTGTTTCAAGGACAATGGTAACTTTCTAAAAGAAGATGAGCAGGTTCAGTGGCATACTGGTGAGGAGGCCTGATGGAAGTGGGTGTACACAAGAGAATGGGAAGAAAGGAAGCAGAGGCAGCACACTTTTTTTCTTACATAAAAGGAGGCAGAGAAAGGGGGTGGTAGCTGAAGAAATATGTGGGTCTGGGAGACAGTTCTTGTTCCTTTAAGTTGCAAGATATTTAGCAAGTGTACATGCTGATGCCACTGCCCCAGTACAGAAAAAAACATCCTCAGTCCACAAGAGGAAACAGAATCCAGTACCCAAGTACTGGAGTCAAACAGACAGTTCACTCCTATAATGACAACAAGGCAGAATGTGTGGGCACAGATTATGATATGCTGGTAGATTTGGTGAGCAGAACATGCTGAAATTCTGTCCTGATTCTAATATTTAAGTTAAATAAGAAGGAAGAGTTACTAGGAATAGAACCACCATATAACTTGGCTATCCAATTTCTTGTTATTCATCCAAAAGAACTAAAATTAGCCTACTATAGCAATCCAGCCACATCTATGTTTATAGTGGCACAATTCGTACTAAGTGAAATAAGTTGACTGAGAAAATCAAGGGTTGAATGTTTTTTTTCATATGTGGAAGCTAGAGCAAAATAAGGGGAAATGTGTGTGGGGGTAGAAAAGTGTGTGTGGGGGAGCAAAAGAAAGACCAGTAGAGTCAAGGGAGGAGAATAGAGGGAGGGGAGAGAAAGTGGGGGAAACGGGGACCAATATGGAGTAAATCAAAGTTCATGTATGTATGATTTTGTCAGAATGAACCCAATGACTATGTGTAACCATAATGCTCTAACAACAACAACAAAAAAAAGACAAAAAAAAAAGAAGAGTTATAAGTATGGATAAGATAATATATAATGACTATAATGACAGAGCACAGAATATAAGCTGTAAAGGAGGGAATAAGGACAGGTGGTGAGTGACAAATAGTAGGTCAAATGACTGGAGGTCCCTGGTGAAATCCTTAGGGAACCAGTGGAAGCAAACAGGAAAGAGAAGGTGTTAAAAGCAGAATCATAGCAGGTCTTACTATGTTGCACAGGCTGGCCTTGAATTCCTGGGCTCAAGTGATCCTCCTGCCTCAGCCTCTTGAGAAGCTGGGATTACAGATGCATACCACCATGCCAGGCTAAAAACAAGAGTTTGGGAAATCTGGAAGGGATATTGTTATGGGTATGATAAGGCCTAAGATCCACCTAGAGCAGATTCTTAGAGGAAGGGAAACCAAAAAACTAAGAGGCAGGTTATCAACTTGCTATGAAGATCATAAAGAATTACAGGACTGGGGATGTAGCTCTGTGGCAGAGTGGGTATTTGCCTAGATGCAGGAGGCTGTGAGTTTGATCCTCAGTACCACACACACACAAATTATGACAGGAATATGGTTTATACTCTAAAATATGACAGGGAGTGAGATCTTATACATGACTGGGATGCTCTAAAGGCATATGCTTCAAGGGCCCTGAGAGACTCTGGGCAGAAGGGAGGAATCAATTATCCAAAAGGGGAGATAAGGAGCAAGCAGGACACCTACCCCACCTTCAGGCCTAGTGGTACTCAGATGTGGGAGAAAAAACATCCATCACTTGATATGTCTATAGAGGAAGCAGAGTCCTCAGTGGACAGCCAGGTATCGGTCAGAGTCAGAGGGTACCTAATGGAAAGAAGCAAAGTATTCTTCAGGAGAGAGAAACATTTCCCTGGCACTAAATTCTAAGGAGAATATAATATTGAAGGGGAGTAAGTTAACAAAATAATGATTTATATGGCAATTTATTTAAAATTAATAAGATGAGAATGAATTATGATCTTAAAATGTGCCAGACATTGTGTTCTTCCTCCTCCAAGGTCTGTGTTCAATAAGGTAATCTGACCTAAGATAGCTTTAAGTATCTTTATTTTACCTTAATATCTTTTCTACTCATGTCATTTGTAGACACAGAATACTCCCAAATCAGGGTATTTCTGATGCTCACAATAACCACCAAGACTTACAGAACTTGATTTTCCTTACTTGTTAAGGTATATAAAAAGGAGAAACACTTATGAGAAATGTGAAAAATACCTGACATTCCTATTTTGAAATTAAATATTTAGTTGCGTTGGCCTACCCAAGACTGAGCTGGGTGGGCACTGCTCTGGGTACAAGCTCCAAGGGGGCACTGGATCAGGCTGGTATTGAGTTGTGCTTCCTCTTACTTCTTACATGCTTTCTCAGACCTCCTTTGTTGGTGAGGAGAGACATTTGGAGGAACATTTCTAACTCTTGGTACAAGCAAGACAAACTGACAGTAAGGAAAAATTCTTATCAAGCATTATGTTTTTGTATTTTTGATCATTTGTTTTTGATTTTTCTGAAACATGTATGTTTATATTAAGATAAAAGTAACATTCCAAATTTGTAGGTGGTTATATAAATTTATATTTAAATATAAAGTGTTGGAACCACTAACAGTTTAGAAAACAATAAATTGTAATCATTCTTCTTTCCTTACCCTAAATGAAATTTGGGATCAAGATTAAAATCAAATAAAGAAAAGCATGGGTTCTGGGAACATGGTAATCTGAAAGTACATCTTCTACTTCTAACTCCATATCTGCTGAACCAAGAGATGCTCAGTGATACCATTTACAGGATTTCAACCACTGAAAATACTTTAGCAAACATACTTTGGCCCTAGTAAGTCAACAAAGAAAAATAATAGGAGATCTAAGGGGCTGTGGTTCCCTTCTTAATGCAATAGAGCTAGAGGAACCACATAAGATTTGAATAAAGAAAGTAAGAGAGTGAAATGTGACACACATATTCTTCTAAAGCTAAAATATTATGATTTTTAAACTAAAAATATTAATAAGTGAATTAAAGTAGAATATATCTCTGTAATTTTTATTATAACTTGGATTATAATGTTCAAGAATAACTTGAAAAGCAGAGCCAAAATACAAAGAGATGGAAATCACGTAAAAAAGGATAAGTGACTTGGAGGATGGTCAAGAAGCTTAACATATTCATAACAGGAATTTCAGAAGTAGGAAAAAAGAGAAGAGTTCAAGGTTAAATTCACTAAATAGCTGAAGCAATAATAATTAAATAAATAATGGCAGAAAGAGTACCTGGGGTGGAGAAATAATAAATGATAATAAATAATTATATACTCCATATTGTTGCCATAGCAATAATGAAGAATTATACATTTTCTATATGTCAGGCACTGTTCTAATTGCTTTTATTAATACTAATTCATTTAGTCTTGACAAGATCCTATATATCATTTTCATCTTGCAAATAAGAGACTGAAGCACAGAATGGTCAAGTGTGCCTTAAACTTCACAGCTAGTAAGTGCCAGAGCTGGAATTAGAACCCAAGCAGTAAGACTCTAGAAGGCAACTCTGGGCTGAATAGAAAAGACACATATAAAAGGAAATTCTGGTAAGATTCCTGAACTCTAAGATTAAAGAGAAAAGTCTTATAAGCTTCTACGTGTAAAGAACAAATTGTCTATAAAGGGAAGAAAAACCATAGTGGCATGGAGGGCTCATCTATGGAAAATGAAATAGTACCCATGGACCTTGGAGGGAAGCACCACAACTCAACAACCCTGGGCCCTGCTGAAATGGGTGAACCAGGATGAGAGGGAGACACTTGAGGAGAAAGGAATGCAGGCAGTATCTTACTCAAACACTATGTGTGAGGAAAACACCCAAGAAAACACTAGCCAAGGAACAAATAAAACCAGAGCAGAGGCCTGGAACTGAGAGAGGCAAAGAGAACAAAAACAGGAAGGAGCAATACATCTGCAGTACATCCTTGTGTGTTAGAATTTCTCTGTGAGTGCTCAGGCATAGACTGTGATATTTAAGTTCTAGGAAATTTTGAAACAGAAAGGGCAATATTAAGAGAAGTTCCTATATACAATAAATAATTTAATTTAATCTAGTTGCTGTGGTTGGTAGAGAAAGGGGGTAATAATGTTTCAAAGGTCTCATTGTAGGCAGGAGTATAGAGAAAAGAATCCTCTAAAGGTCTCACCTCACCATGGGGGAGAAGGAGAAGTTGGTAAAAATGATAATTTTTATCAACTGTCTAGGGAGTAAAAAACAGTGTGTCTTAGCAGCTGAAGCCAGTTGATATATTTCTTTAAAGTACCAGTAGAGCTCTATGTGTTTAACTGAGAGAGCTAGGAAAAGGAACTTCGTAGACTAGCACAATAAAATTTCCAAGTGTGGGACAACAATGGATTAGCAGATAACTTCAAAACAGCAAACACGAAAAGTAAACATAGGGGGCTGGAGATACAGATCAGTTGGTAGAGTGCTTGCCTTGTATGCACAAGACCCTGGGTTCGATCCCCAGCACCACCAGGTTAAAAAAAAAAAAAAAAAGTAAACATAGCTGGGCATGGTGGTGTGCACATCCTCACAGCAGCTTGGGAGGATGAGGCAGGAGGATCTTGGGGTTCAAAGCCAGCCTCAGCAACTTAGTGAGGCCCTAAGCAACTCTTGATGAGACCCTGAGATACATACAAAAATACAAAAATAATATACAAAATAATAATATAATATATATAAAAAAGGGGCTGGGGATGTGGCTGAGTGGTAAAGTGCCTCTTTAGTTCAATCCCCAGTAAACAAAACAAAATGGAACAAACAAACAAAAAAAGTAACCAGATGAATTAAGAAGTTTTGAATGGAAAAAAACCCAGAATGTAGTCAAGTCTGAAAGACAGAGACCATCAGAGTGGAATAGAAAAGATCAAAGCAGTTGTGTGTTGGTAAAAAAATACTTAAACTTGAAAATAAAGTAGTAGGAAAGACATTTTAGGCAAACACAAAAAGAAAGGAGTAAAAAATATTAATAAGGAATAGTCGAAAGTTAAGTTTAAACTTACTCATCAAGATCAAGAGGATTTTATGTACAATAAAAAGGCACAATTTTGTAATGAAGCAATAATGTATATGTACCAAACCACATAGAAGCTAAATAATGCAATAACTAATAAAAATGCAAAAACAATATAAATACAATAATATGAGATTTCAAAATAGCTCTTTCAGAAAGGAGCAGATAGTAACACAGTAAGTAAAGGTCATAGAGAACATTTCTTAATCAGAAAATAAAATTATCAGGCTGGGGCTATAGCTCAGTGGTAGAGTGCTGTCCTAGCACGTGTGAGGCACTGGGCTCAATCATCAGCACCAAAAAAAAACAATAAACAAATAAAATAAAGGTATTGTGTCCATCTATAGCTAAAAATAAAGAAAGAAAGAGAAAAGAAAATATTTTTTTATGTTCATAGAACATTTACAAAAATTGATCAAGATCTTAGTTATAGAGAAAAATTTTAAGATGTAGAGACAGACCACACCTTTGGACTATCACACAAACAATTAGAAATAATAAAATGTGATTAACTTTTCACTCAGCTTCTTCATAGCCAAAGTGAATGAATAAATATGAGAAAAAGAAAGCAAGCAATCTCTTACTGTCCACCAATAAGAGACTATATAAGTTAACTACGGAAGAGACTGTGCTAATAGCAAAAATAAAAACATTTTCATTACCTTAATTTCTGCAAGAGATGCCATTGCCCACGCGATGGTGGATCGAAGTCCAGCAGTCTTGATGTAAGTTCTGCTGGCTAAGGGGATTCTACAAAGAAAAGAAGCTGTTTACATACCAAATATTACTATATATTAAAGAACAGGATATAAATAAAAATGATGAATCTGTCTGTATCTAGAACCACTTTAGTACATTCATCTAACATATCTCAAGAATTATCTAAATTAGAAAAATTTTAAATTTAAATTATTCAAAATAATTCTCTAATGGACACTTTGTCTAACCAGCCACTGTGGTACTTAAATTCTTTGGAAACTGAAATTTAAACTCTCACGTTTAATTTATAAAAATTTAATCACACATGAGGGAAATCTTTCTCATTTAGTATTTCCTTATCTTCCCATATACAACAGACCGTTCCTTTCTCTCTGGAGTCAAGAGGAACATAGTTTTTTGATGTAGGTGTAGTTGGCTGAATGTATATTAACCTTCAAACCTGTTTTCTACCAAAAAATCCCTTTTATAAGTTTGCTTTTTGCTCATTTGCATCTTTCTCAAAAGATGAAATGAAGCATGACAATCCACTGTCTAAAATAAATTACTGAATAAAGGGATGAAGCAGACATCTTCCAACTGAGTTTACTGGTCTCTGTTCTATATCACTATATTGTTACTAATCACCATCGTTACTATTGGTGTTTCCAGAATTGATAGAAACGATAACATAAAATGTTAAGATATTGTCAAATATATTATTTCAAACTTTCTAATGCTATAAGCAAACAACATCTTGGAAATTAAAGTAGTTATGATTTCAAGAATTTGTGATGGTTTGTTCTGGGGTAGGCTTATTCTGAAACTACTAAGAGGGCTCTTCTATAACATTACCCAAACACACAGTGTTCTCCACTCTTCTTAAAGACTTTCAACAGAATTCCATGTATATAAATTTATTAAATATTGATTTCTTCCATGATATATTTCCTCATCTTTTTTGATTTTAAATTATCCTGTCCTGGTTTATACTAACTGCAAGCCCCTTAGTGCTTAGAAATAAGATGATATACCCCTTTCAAATAAAACAGTGTAGTAGTATGCCACTATAATGAGAAAGTTCTGCATGGCAAACCCATGGGAGCTTTGCTTTTTAATTAAGTTTTTTTTTTTCAGGAAACGCTAATTCATATTATAAGTAATATTGTATCTATACATTCGAAATCAAGAATGTAAACTGGCTATAAAATATTTCAATCAATTAATCACTTCTACAGGGTAAGTTCTACTGGTAATTCTACAGGCAACTGTCTTGCTACAAAATATTTTATACTTTAGACACCAAAAATACATGAATAAATAAATAAAATAATAATGAAATAAAAATAAAATAAAATAAAAATGACACAGTATGGAAGACCATCTTTTTGGTCTCTAAATTTTATTTTATTTTTTATTGATTCTTTTTAGTTACATAAAACACTAGGATATATTCTGACATAATCACAAAAGCATGAAATATAATTTGCTCTAATTCAGTCCCCAGCACTCCCCACTTCTTCCACTCCCTCCCCTGCTCCTCTCCCTTTACTCTGCCAATTTTATGCAATTTATTTATAGTTTTTTTTTAAACATTACTGTCTTGTGGGTATAGCTGATGTTGGGATCCACTGTGGGGTATCCATGTAGTGCAAACGGAAGTGTAGTCACCTTCACTCCACTGTTCTTCCCTCTTTCAGACCCTCCTTCCTCCCTCTCAATCCCCTCTCTACTCTACTGAGCTTTCCTCTATTTTGATGAAATTCACTCTCCCTTTTCTGGAAGACTATTTTCATGTGTATGTATTACAAAGTTTATATTACCAACTTCTAAGTAGCAGGGATTTATGTGGAACCTTCAAATTTTTGACAATTATGTATACATTTTTACCAACACAGCTTTTATTTTGTGGAGCTAACTCTACTAAAATGTCATAAATGTGAATATGTTTTTACTTTGCTAGGTGAAAGTGATCTGCTATTATTCCAATAAATGGTCCCTGTTAAAATCAGTATAATAAAATTATTCAGGGGAAGACAGTATTCACAAACTCCTTGCAAATAAAAACAATGCTCTACTTTCATAGTGTCTGACTGATGTTTTAAATCAGATTGTAGCTGGTTTTTATGTAGTTCAAAGTAAATGTGTTTTTTTGCCCCCCTTTCCACATAGATATATTTCTTTTTTATTCTCTTGCACATCACGACAAATATACTCTTACCTACATCTCTAGCCTGGATTTGAGCCCCAGATTTTTATCTTCAAATACCTGCTTGGGCATTTTTACCTGGAGGTGAAGTAGTGCATGTTCAATAGCTGTAAAGTGAACACATTCTCCTCTCCCTCTTTCTTGCATATACGTTACTGTTTTCTTATTCCATTTGCTATCCATATATTGGACACCCTAATGTATATCTTCAGTCTAGACTTGCCACCTGAACTTCAGAGCTGTAACTTTAAATATCTACTTGGATGTTTGTCACTGAATACAGTTTCCTTTCCCTATATTTTGTATCTCAGTGACTTACACTAATATCCTCTAGTTGCCTAAATCAGAAATATGAAGGTTTTCCCAAGACTCCTTAACTTTTCCATGAATTCAGTCCTTCTGTTACCCCCAATTTTTGCTTTGGTTCAGTTCTTCATCATTTATTGCCTGGACAGAGTTTAAATCCTCTCTCTTTTCCATTTTAAAATATAATTTCCTTAGTAATTATTTTAAATCACAAATATGATCACATTACCCTTGCATTTCAAATTCTTATGGCTTTTAGAATGAAATCCAAGTTGTTTAACATGGCTTACAAGACACTTTGTGCCTTTTCCTTAATTGTTCAGTCTAATTTTTGACCACTCTCTTGTACGTACACTCGGTCCCATCTGTACTGGGACTACATGTCATCCCCTCATAACTCAAGCTTCCTTACATCTCTGTGCCCCTGCACACACTACTCCTTGTCTGTAAGAGTTTTTCCTTCTTGTGTCTACTAACGAGCCCTTACTTATTCCCTTCAGGACTCTGCTTAAGTGACACTGCTCCATGTTCTTTTCCTCATGTCCTACTTTAGCTAAATCCTTTTTTAGTTGGGCAAGCATTTATCATATGTCTGTTTTACCACTAGACCAAATTCCTTGAACTTTGGGTGTCTGGTACACAATTGATGTTTCAAAGGAAATTAACGGGGTGAATTAATCTCACTCTAGTAAATGCTTCTCCTCTGACTAGCTGCTGACTTAAAAAAAATAAAAAGTCGAAATTTATTCAACACTTCCTTATCCTAGAAATAGTACCAAGCATTTTCACATGGAGTATCTCATTTATCTCATTCAATTCCAACCACAAAACTATAAAGTAGGTAATATTATTTTCCTGATTTTATAAAAAACAGAGAAATGATAAACTGCCCAAACTTGCAGTTAAATGGAAGAGAAGGGAGAATTCAAGTCCATAGTTCTTATCCATTATGCCATCACTACTAGGTTATATGTACAGTTAATGGCCTATGGGGCTAACTAATACCTCAATAGTTCTTTTCTTTAAAGAAAGTAAGGCTCTATTATGAACAATATAGAACAATATATACATTTTGATGTAACCTTCAAATTTCCTGTCTGTTCTATACTGTTTCATCACTTCTCACTTTTTTTTTTTCTGTTTTCAGGGTCACCAGCTTGTCCCTTCTTTTGTCAAATGCTATCTGCTCTTCATGTCTTCATGTCACTTTTTTGCTCATACCCAGTAAATTGTTCTTTTTAGCCAACACATCATCAAGACCATTTCTTCCTTCACTAGCTAGTAAAACTGACTTATCACAAAGCATCTATTAAAATCTTATCTACAATCACTGTTCACTCAAGATCTGAGTCTTAATTTTCAGGTACATACCTTGTGTCTGTAAATTTTTAAGTGTATCACCAATTAATACTTAAAATGCCATAAGCCTGACTCCTTGAGTGTTTCTATGAACATAAAAATAATTTGAAATAATAAAATATAATGTCTTTAAATGCTATATAAAGCTATATATGTTTGTTACATAAGAGTATTTAACACTTCTGTATATAATTAAAAATTTTTTAAATTAAAAGACAGTAGAATAAATCTAACATAATTTTCCTATGTACACATATGAAAATGCCCATCCATAAGAATGGGGTCCTAATTAGAGTAAGATATATCCCATGCTTGTATAATTTTATCAAAATGGATTCTACCATCATGTATAACTAAGAAAAATAAAAAAAATAATAAAAAAAATGTTTATATATGCACACACATAAATTAATTAATTAAAATAATTTTTAACTACATTATAAATTCTATTATAAACATTTCATATCTTGCTTGTTTTGTTAACCCTTCCTATCTTTGTTTTGGTGATCATCAATATTATTCTGACAAATGTGATCATTTCTTCAGTCTTCCCATCCTTCATGTCAGTTATGAAATCTTAAAATGTAAGATAGGCAAAAGTATTGAAATTAAAGTCAATCAGTTTTATAAATATTTTACAGTGATTAGGGCCTGGAGTTACAAAAGGTACTGCAATAGGGCAGCCTAGAAATGGTTCAGGTGTAGGTGTAGGAAAGCAGGATAGGTTTGATCTGCAAAAACTTGTAAGGTATTGGGGTAGGTGGGGTCCAAGAGAAATGAATAAGGCATTGACATGTGATGACCTCTCAGGACTTATGGTGCCAAGAAATTTTACTTAGCATGTAATGTGATCTTTGTTGGTGATGGAAATGCTGGTAGAGCCTACCATACGGCTGGCACATAGCAAGGTACTCAACCATTCACCATTCTTAGATATCTACAATGTTCTGAGCATTGTGTTGGTCAAATACTAAAGCTCACCCTTAAATAAAAGTTTTTAATCTTAACATAAAACTTAATAATCTTAAACATTTAAAAATATATCCTGATTTAAGATTTCAGATGCATAAATATGAGCTTAAGGTAAATACATTATTCTCACAGGATTTTCCAGATCTTTAAAACATCCTACTGCCTAAAATCACCTAGGAAAAGGGTATTTAAGTCACTTATATAAGGAGTTATGCATATAAAATGAAGTTTTATTAATATTTGCTATTAATATTTACATTCTTCCAAGAAACTGGAAATCAATGGTTTTATTCAACCAGGTCTTTCTCCCCAGAACACCTAAACAAAGTATCTGTTACACAGGAAGAGTTCATTAGGTATTTCTTAAAAGAAACAAATCATTTGTATTTATTATTATTTAGTACTCTACATGACTAGGGAGACCCCTGAAAATTTTAAAAACTAGCAATAACCTGTTACAATAAAAGAATAATGACAATAAAATCTGGAGAATATTCAATATGAATTTAAAGAACTACATTATATTTTCTATATATTTCTAATATGCCAACAGACTAAAAATTTTAGCTTAAACATGGGTTTGAAAAATATCACTTAAAAAACAGAAATAATTAGATGTAATTTTCAGTATTAATCATGTAATCAATGGATGATTGTGACAAAATTTTTCACAGCTCTAAGTGGTCAGATCAAGTCACATCCACTAAGCTCCATGAAAACATTTTCCTGGATTAAGCAAAGAACTCAAAATGCTTTACCTTTTGCCTCCTCTGTTTCATCATTATTTCATATTATTAAAAAAAAAAAAAAAGCACACCGTTTTTAATTTCACAAACTCTTCAGGGACAAACCTGAAGCTTAGAATATAATAGTTACCTGAACACAGGAATCCCCACCACAAAGTAAATGTCATTTAGATGTACAAAGATCTGAAAGAGCAAACACAGGAGTTCATATGGAACAAGAAAATACATGACCAAATTACTGACAATATGAAACTTCTATTTTGAATTTATGTAACAGATATTTTAATATGAAATTCCAAGGCTTATTTGCCATATCTGGAAAAATGTTTCATAATCTTTTTTTTTTTCTAAAAGAGGAAAACGAAATTTTAAGAACATTACATAGAAAAATTCTGAGGTCAATTTGGTACATAGATTATATGGAGAACTATGTTACAAAGAACTCAAGATCTTTTTCCTCAGAGATTATTTTATCACAACGGAATTAGACTTTTCAGCATTTTGGGTTAGAAAAGACTTCCTAAATATACCACAATTCTAACCTCAAGTAAGACTTGAGCCCACACAAGGTTATCATGAGCTACAAATACCTGCAGTGTGATAGAAAACTTTCTTCAGGCCAAATGTATGGTAGCAAGAGTGTCCTTTCTATCTATTATCTCTAGGTGAGTTTTTGCCTCTTTTATTTCCTTTCTTCTGTTAGGCCATGCAGAAAATGTAAATGCTTCAGATACTAGTAACCCACATGAATTAAAAAAGTTAGATTATCACTTTTGTAGTCTGATAAGGTTTAAGGAATATTTAACTGCCACTTTGAACCTTAAGAACATTTGATCCCTGGTACTGCCATCCCAAACTCAGGGCAGTATGCCAAACAAGTGTTCTATCACTAAGCTATACCCTCCGGCCCCTCAAAGTTATTTTTAACATAAGCAGTTTAGTCAGAATTGTTCCAATATTGATATATTTTCCTAAAAAATAATTATCTAAAGTGACTCATTTTAGAAACTTAATTCTTTGATCAACTGAAACATCACAGTTAAACTTTCCAATTTTTACACAGCATGCACTGTAGCAATATTATTTATTAAAATTCTTTTCTATTTATAATTTATACCAAAGATATGATATATTTTTGATTGATCTTCTTTTTACATATCAAATATTAAAAACAGCTTCTCCATTATAAAATTTTTTTCTATCAACTTGCCAAACAAAATTTGTTAAGATTTGATTCTCCTGTCAATTTTCAGTCACAAATTTTATTACATGTGATTTTAGTGTTGTCAATTTTTTATTTTGTATGATTGTTTTTTACAGTTATAGCTATTATTGATTTCATTAAGGCTTGTAGAAATTAAATTTGCTATTTTTATAAGCTCAGCTATGAGAAAACAGTAATTCTGACAGTAAGATGGGGAGACAAAAAAGGAAAGTGGGAAGAAGAAGGAAAGAGAACTGAAAAGGCGGGATGGGTATAAGACACCTTATTCAGGGGCATCAAAATATTTTTCATGAAAAGATGGACATATACCAGGTGTTATTTTTTAAAAATTGAAAAATATCAACTAAAACTAAAACTATAGAACTATAAAACTGAAAAAAAAACAAAGTGTTTTGAGTTGGCTAGTTATTACTCCATTTAGAGCAATATAACAAGCAATTAATTTATGAATTAATAAATCATGAAAATGACTATCTGTCAAATTCATGAGATGGTTTTCAAAACAAAGAGAAGAATAATTTCTGCTACTCCATGTAACAATACTATTAAATTTTATGCAGGCCTTCTTGTTGCTATTGACTTTAAACAACAGCTAGAATTTCTTATCAGAGACTTGTTATGTATTATAGAAACTGTAGAGAGCATCTCTGCAACCTTGCAATGGGTACTTTATTCTTCAGCTGTGAACAAACAACTTCCTTCCTTCTAAGTGTCTTTTCTTTTTAAATTTGGATAAAGCATTTTCACAGTGAAACTACTAGAAAAACTGTTTGCACTTTTCTACTGTTAAAGACAAACTAGACTATTGAATCCGTATAGACATGGATTTTAACAACTGAAAAGTATGATAAGAATAGGTTATATGTATATAAATTAAAAAGAATATTCATTACCTCTAAATTTGGAGTCCTCAAATCTGTTTTCCATCCAAACTGCTTCATAAGAGCAATTCCAATTACTCTTCCTATCTCCTGCAAAGTAGCAAGTTATAGAAAATATATTAAAAATGAAAATCTGAAATTTAAAGAGAAGCAAAAATTTATAGAAAATCAAGTGTTATAGAAAAATCAAGTCAGATTATCTGATGATAATTTAGGATCCCAATATTAAAATGTTACTCTGAAGCATTTTCTATTCAAGGCAATAAGGCTATATTTTATCTCCCTTACTCCTCAATATACCTATGGCATTAATGTCTACACATGAATAACATCTATTCTTGCAATTTTATGTATACAAAATCACAAGATCATGATCTGATGAATATGGCCATTCTAAGTTGTACGAAACGAAAGCAAGATGAAAGATTAACCATTTCAGATATTATAATCCTGTTTACAAATTACCAGAACAGTATCATTAAACCCCACTTTTAGGATTTGATTCTAAAGTTCACTAAAGAACTCAGACCAATGCCCTTTGTATCACTGAACTCTGTAAGGGTCAACCAATAAGGTTCTGTGGAAACTGTGGTGTCCACTCTTCCCTGAAGTGTGGAGTCCTCCTGTGTATTTGTGGTTGTAGGTCCTAAGGAAAATCCCACTATAGTACCTAGTGCAAAGTAGCCACCCAATAAGAAAAAAAATGTATAAAAGAGAGCCCCTACAAAGCTGAAGACCATGGCATCAGGGTTTCCAAATGCAAAGGACATCTATGAATTTAAGAAAACCTTTAGGCACAAAATAAAAGGAGGTCATTACATGGAATGGTATGCCACTCCTTTTAGATACTAGGGGTAAGTTAAAAGGGGAAATGCAATCTTGAAGGTATTGAGTCAAGTAAGATTAAACCTAATTATATCCTGGGCTTATTTATCTGTCCTATGGGAGGGCTGCCTCTCATTGTAAATCTCAGGAGTGATCAATTCATTCTTTTAGAAAATGGGACCCCCGCATCAGGAGGTAAGCATACCTGTGCAGTAAAGGCTTTTCCGATAGTTCCACTACAGCGACAAGAAACCCGGAAAGTCAAGTCGTCCTGGTTATGAGCATCAACTGCTTTCCCTACATCATTCTGACATTCTTCTTCTTGAAGTGTTTCTTGGCCAGTGACAGAATCTCTTTGCTCGAGTGCATTTTCTTCTATTTGTTTTTCCAGCTGGCATTCCTTATGAGTTGTTTCAATCTTTTGCATTTCTTCTACTTTTAATTTCTTAGCAATAATTTCATTTTCTCCCATTTTTCTTTTTAGTGGGTTAGAAGCCCTTTGAGAAAGTGTTTCCTTTTTTGTATCAAGTTCAAGAAGATTTTTCCAAATTGAAATGGTATCCAACCAACTTCCTGGATCATCATTTATAAGTTTTTGTATTTCATTAAGTATTTTTCCTAAATAAATAAAATCTCACTTTAACCCATATCCCTTTAAAGACCATTTATACACTCATTACTCCCAAATCTCATTACTTTCTTTAAAATAAGTTTATTGAATTGTTACATGAATAAAATTTCACTTTCATATGGAACTTATATAATTTGTCATAAGAATATTATGCAGATTAAGTTAATTCTTATATACACAGCATCAATATTGCATTAAAATTCTCATATAACAAATTCATTTATCCTATGATAATAAATATATGTATCTCATGAATAAATACACAGACTAGAGTCTTTTAAATAATGGTGATCTTGCCTATAAAAATTAAGGTTTTAAAAAAAAGAATAAATTGTAAAATACAGAGTTCAGAAATTGGAGCAGCTAAATCTTGGGGTTATACAACATTAGCATGTATCTTAAAATGAGTTTTCATAAGTGAAACTTCATATACACGATCCATTCAAAACTTAAGGACTGCCAACATGTTCAGTAAAATTTAATCTTTTCTTGATGAATAAGGGTCATCAAGATGACCCAAAAGTAATTACTGCACTTCCCTAAAGATGAAGGTAGGTGGCAAACTGGGATGAAATTATATTAACCCCACAAGATAATACCTTGGGATTTGCTTTAAAATATTTTTTCCTGCCCAGTCTTATTTCTTGTCATTTGTATCCTTCTTGAAGTAGTTTATTAGAGAATATATAATTACATGATCTCTTGTGCACATCAGCAACCAAAATGAAGTATAAGGCAGTGTTTAATCCTGCAGTGTCTGGCCCTTTTTGCTGCTTTGATCAAGATTCTTAATTTATTTTCACAGCATATTTATAAAATATAAATGGGTAGAAATTTATTGAAATAAATTTAAGGTCCTATTACTCAATTAAAATTTATAAGGTGACAGTTTTCACCAACTTATTATTAAAATAATACATTTGGAGTTATTACATGCTTCTAAATGCAGATAAATGCAAATGACCAAATTTACATCTAGAGAAGTTGCCTGACCATAATTCCCAAAGAAAAAAATATGACTTTGGACATAAAAATCTCAGGAGACAGACAACAGATTGGAAAAAGGAAAAAAATAGATATCACTATCATTATGTGATAATGTCAGGAAAAAAAAACATAACTAATGATGCCATTTGTATGAATGACTTATGAATGTGAAGTTGTTACATATTAATTATTACATAGAAAACTTTGGAGTTCAATGTATTAAGTGGATAAAAAGCAAATAGGCATACACTGTACCTTTACGTGGAGAAGAAACAGTAAATGGAGACTGCTTTTTAATCAGCAAAAATAATCTTTCTGCAGATTTTAATTTCTTTAGCATATTCAAATCAGAAGAGGTGGTGAAAAAAACCTTTCCTGAAATATATTCAACCTAGAGACAGAAAGATATTAATGTGGTAAGAACTATCCTTTTCCCACTTAATTAAGACCATAGACTCTAGACTAATAATTAAAAATGTCCATTTCCAAAGCATCTTTTATTTGTTAAGCATTACACTAAGAACTCTGAATACGTATTTTTTCCCTTTATCTTTCTAACACCCCCCTCTAAGGTAGATTTTATCATGCTTAATTTACAAATCAGAAACTGAGGTTTAGAATAGGTTAAATAACATGTTAAGTAGTTATCTATAAGGTTACACAGTCAGTGATCAAGATCATAGTCCTTTCATGTTACGTTTTAACACATACACATGCACATACTACTAGAAAAACAGAACATAAAATACTTAGTAATTACATAAACCTTAAACACTATTTAAAAGTGGGGGGGAAAAAAGTTAAAGTGGATATTTATAAAACACCTGCCTGTGGTCCACCAGGAAGCATATGCCATAAATCCTGAATAATATTATAGTAGATATTATCATTAATAATGTGATAGATATATACTGGCTGTTATGGTTTAAAAATGAGGTGTCCCCAGAAGCTCATGTGTGAGACAATGCAAGCATTTTCAGAGGTGAAATGATTGGTTTATGAAAGCCTTAATCTAATCAGCAGATTAAACTACTGATATGGATTAACTGGACAGTAACTATAAGAAGATAGGGTGTAGCTGGAGGAATAGGTCACTGGGGGCTTGCCTGTTTTGTCTCTGGTGAGTGGAGCTGTGTTTCCTTAGTGCCATGTCCTGAACTGCTTTCCTCTACCATGTCCCTTCCACCCTGATTTTCTGCTTCACCTCAGGTCCACAGCTATGGACCTGACCATTTACAGACTGAGACTTCTGAAACCATGAGCCCCAAATAAACTTTCTATTTTCTAAGTTGCTCTTGCCAGATCTTTTGGCCACAGGGATGAAAAAGTTGATTAAAACACTGGCATGAAAATTAAAAGGTAAACTGTATAACCCAAGAACTAGAAAAAAAAAAAAAGAACAAGTCTAATATTATAAAGCACTGATAAGCTATCTATACAATAAATAGCACTGAAGGCCAATGTCACTTAAAGCACTGGGTAAGAATTCTTCAAGATCTGGGAAGAAGGCTAGTAACAAAAGAACAAGGAGCAGATGCAGAAGCAGAGAGAAAACCTGGCTGAAGTCAACTGTAAGTTGGCTTGGCAACTTTCATTGCATTATGCTGACTGATACTGTCGAGTGGATAGATGGTGTGGCCTAGGCCAGCTTGATGTACGGTCACAAATTTTGAGTACCACGGATGGTAATGGTCAGCCGATATAGAATTTTGATGAAAACTGTGACAGCACTGAATTAGCTGGCAGAAAAATTACTTTGGAAGAGACATAAAGGACTGAGTATAGAATGTGATGCTGGAGGGAGAGGTAGATAACTGAGATAGAAATGATGAGACATTGGAAAATGGACAGAAGCAAGATATACACTGTTTCAAACAGAAACAGGCTTTGAAGACAGGGTATGTGGTAAAAGTAGGGAAGAAAGGAAATGAAAAGAGCTCTGACTTGTAGGAGCCTGATGTGGCAAATGGGGCTCAATACCAGTGGAACCCTAAACCTCATAGGGCCGACCCAGCTCTCTTAAAGTTTAAGAAGGATGTGGACTGTGTTGGAATTCTCCTTCAGCAGTGGCCATGGGCTAACAGGGTTCTAAGTTATTTCAGAGAACTAAGGAACCAGGAAAAGAAAGGTACCCACGTGCTAGGGTTTGAGCCTGTTCTTCAAGGGTCCATGTGCAGAAAGCTTGGTCTGTAATGTGGTGATTCTGAAGGGTGGTGGAATCTTCAAGGCCTAGTGAGAGGAGACTGGGTCATGACAGCCTCAAAAGCGATTCACGCTGCTCTTGCTGAGTGGGGAGTGTCTTGTAAGCTGGACATTATAAAACAGCAAGCTTGGCCCCTCCCTGCTCTCCTGCTTCCTTGCTCGCATACCTGCTCCTTCTATGTGCAGCTGGTTCTCTTTCTGTTTCTCTGCCATGTTGTGATTTGGACAGGGGTGACCCTTGTCAGACACTGGCACCATGCTGCTGGACTTTCCATCCACCAGAATGGTGAGCTAAATAAGCTCTTTTATGTATATACCATCCAGTGTCGGGTATTCTGTAATAGCAATGCAAAACAGACTTAAGAGACTATGTGTTTAGGCAGCTACTATTCATAGGAACATGAAACCAAAGATTTGTTTTGTTTTGGCTCTGATTGAACATTTGCAATGGCAATTTCTAGAGTTACTATTCCAGGTTGATGAAAGAGGATTCTCTGGGGCTGGGGATGTGGCTCAAGCAGTAGTGCGCTCTTCTGGCATGGGTGCGGCCCGGGTTCGATCCTCAGCACCACATACAAAGATGTTGTGTCTGCCGAAAACTAAAATGTGAATAAAATATTAAAAAAAAAAAAAAAAAGAAAGAAAGAGGATTCTCTGCCCAGGAAGCCCTAGGTTGGTACCAACTAAAACTCAAATAGCTTAGGTATCAGCAATGTAGTTGATCAAAGCAGATGGAGGAACATATGATGACATTATGGGAAAAAAACAAAGAATGAGAAGAATGTTTACGAATCAATATTTAGGGGGATGGTGAAGTAACCCAAACAAGATTTAACTCCTTTCTCATTACATAGGTGACATTTTCCAAAACTAAATATTTACCTCAAAATGCTTAGACCTTGAAAACGAGAGTTTTAAAAAGTAAACTTTTTGAAGTAAGATTTGTTACCCAGTGTAAGAATATATCTGATATCAAAGCCCTCCAAGACAATTTCACAGACCTTGCTAAGATTCTGGGGAAACTGAACTAAATATTTTACTGAAAATGTATGGTTTTAAGAATTAAGTTCTAAAAGCAAGAAAATGAATACAAACCCTTAGATCAGGGACTATACCTTCATAGTCAGTGATCTGGATATTTTGGTTCCTTAACTATACAAAGAGGTTATCTTTTCTTATTTGAAAATTAAAGGAAACATTTTAAACAGTGAGCTTTCTTTAAAAATATCTTCTAAAAAGAACATGACTCAGTATTGATTAAGAAAACCGAAAGAGTTTAATTTATTTAGGGTTTTAAATCACAAGGATAGTGTATGTTGATGCACTAAATTGCCAAATACATTCTCAGAACCAAAAAAAAAAGCAATGTTACTCTTTTTAAGAATTAACATAAAGCCTGCATTGTTTTTATGAGTAATAAGCATGTAATCAGAAGTAGTTTACTAAATTATGAGATAGTCTCTGTGAGAATAAAATAATCATATTTGTGGACACACAGTTTACGCTTCTTGAAAACTGGATTTCATCTTAAAGCAAGAGGGAGACTGAATTTTGGTGCTTATAATTTCATCAACTGCTAAAGCCAGCACTTCTCTTTTTCTTCAGTTTATTGCTGAGAATTGATCATATTCACTTACAGTAGAGATAAATGTAAAATTTTAGAATATTTCAACCTAATATTTGTTACTTGAAAATTTATATATTTTTTTCTCCTTGGAATTAAACTATATCTAAGTGTCTAAACACTGGTTTATGCCTAACATTTCTGAAATTAAATAACAGCTCTATTATCTGCTAGAATATTATTAGTCAGCATTTTTTCTTCCTTTTAAAATTCATGGATTCAAGTCTAATCCAAAGATTAAATGTTTAGATCTAGGTAAAATCATATGATATTACAGGGAGGTAATACAGTCTTCCAGGACTGTAAAGAGTCTTTTCTTTATAAAATACTCAGTCTGTAGTATTCTATTAGAGCAATACAAAAAGGACAAAGAGAGGAACATGCTAAACTACACCACGGAAATGGGATTGCAAAATCTAGACCTGGGGAAACTATCAGTGCTGTCCAATAGCTTTCTGCAGCAATGGAAATACTATATAACTCCTGCTGTCCAATACGGTAGCCACCAACAGTGTGGTTTCTGAGCACCTAAAGTGTGATTAATGCAGATGAAATAGTGAATTCTTATCTTATCCAACTTTATTTTTAATTCAAATAGTCATTTATTTTGAATTTAAATTTGGTTAGTGGCAACCTTATTGGACAGCACAGCCATGTCAGAAAACTTGGCCTAAAGGCTAAGAATGGCTTTTATACTTTTAAAAGGATGTAAATATAAAACAAAGAAGAATACATGTAAAGAAGCCACATCTGATTTATAAAACCTATGATTATTACTATCTGGCCCTTTATAGGAAAAAGTTTTCTGGCTCTGGCAATCCAACTTCTTTAAGACACAGTTTGCAAAGGGGAGAAAAGTGAGAGATGGGAGGGGGGGTAAATCTGTAGATTAAATTGCTTAGAAGTATACTGGCCAAGGTATGGAAAGTATTTGAATCCTGATTCAAATATCAAACTTAAAAAACAAAAGTGATATTTAAGAGACAATTTGAACACTTGACTAGATATTTGATAAGGAATTATTTTTACCTGTGACAATGATAATGTGGCTTACATTTTTTAGAGCCAATATACTATATTGTATTATATTATGTATAGTGTTATAAAAGAGTCCTTATTATTTAAAGATAAATAAATATTTACAGATGAAATGATTCCTGGAGTTTAATTCAAAATAACATGGGGATAAAGAGTGGCAGGAGGTGTGAATGGGGCAGAATTCACCATGGGTTGATCTTTTCATAGTTGGTCGGTAAGTATGTAGAATTCTTTATACTATCCTATTTACTTTTATATCTGCACAAAATTCTCCATAAACAAAGCTAAAAGGAATACACAGGAAAATTTTCTACTGTGCACTGAGCAGTTTGTTGGCAGAGTCACCTGGGAAGGGAGAGTGTTTCATGTTCAAATGTGAACACCTGTGCTTATCAGCAGCTCTACTGAAAGAAAACCTTTTGAGGTGCGCACCCGGGGATATGGCATTTTCAACAAGCTCCCTCGGTAATTCTTATGTTCACTAAAATTGGAAAAACACTGATTAAAATTGAATGATTACTTTCTAAAAGTAAACAATCACTTCTGAGTTAATTTGTTTTATAAATTCCTGGTTTTGAATATTAATTTTTCTTAAAGCAAACCAAAGTTTCTGACAGACTCTCTTGTCACTACAGGAATGGTCTTAAGTATTCCTGTGCAACTCCTGTGGGACCTAACATTCACTGAGCACTAACTGTTTGTCATGCACTGTGTTACCAATCTATCCTCATTTGAATGACTGAATTAATCCTGTAGGTACTACAAAAAATAAAAAGCGGGTACTATCACCTTTTTTTCACCTCCAAGAAAACAAGCTTAGCAATTTGAGTAATTTGTGCAAAGATACAAATCTATTACAGGAAGATGTAAGGTATGAATACATGTCTTTGATTCTGAAGCCCACATATGCTGTTTGCCAAGGTGTTATGGAAATAACCTATACCCAATGTTACAGGGCAGTTTCTCGCATGACAGTTGGAGCTCTGTAATGCAGGTTTCCTATCTGCCGATTCAACTAATCTCAGATGAAAAATATTTGAAATAAAAGCCTATGTTTGAACATACATCTATAGAATTCCTTCTCATCATGATACCCTAAACAATATAGTATGATTAGTATTTGTAGAGCATTAGCATTGCATTAGATGTTATAAGTAACCTAGAGATGATTTAAAGTATGTGGGGGATATGTGTAGGTTAGATGCAAATATTATACCATTTTACATAACGAATTTGGGCAACTGTGGATTTTGGTGTCTGAGCAGGGGTGGTCCTGGCACCCATCCTCTCTCAGATACTAAGGGACAACAGCAATTGAGCTACCACATGGGTTACAAAGCTAGGGAGATTCTGATACAAGTCCCTATTCCACTATTTTGGGCTAGTTTTCTCGCTGCCATGAACTGAGTATCTTTCCTCCATCATGCCCTTCAGTCAAAATGTTCTGTCTCAACTTAGGTCCAAAGCAATGGAGCTGGCGGACCATGGACTGAAATTTCTGAAAATTGTGAGCCAAAATAAAAAATTTTCTACTTTGTGTCAGGTATTTTGGCCACAGCAACAAAGTTGACTAACATGTCCCTAAAACATACAAGAGCAGAATATGGAAATTATCTTGGCATTTAACTACTCTCATTGTCAAGAAGTTTTCCCTATGCTTAATTGAATTTTCTAACTTCCCCATCTCATTTTGTCTCTAAAGAAGACAAATAAGCAGTGAGGGTCTTTTCCTAATAAGCCTATGTAACTAGACTGGATCAAGCCTTCTATTTTTCATACCAAGCATTCCTGGTTAACATTAGAATAAAACAAACCAGTACAGGATTACATATGGCTACATAATTGGCCTGGGTTGAATATGATTATATACTCATGCTTGATTTCACAGGCAGCTTGGGTATGAATCTCACCTTTGCCATTTTCTGGCACAAGACTTGAACAGATTATTAAATCTACCAGAGCTTTATTTTCTTCATCTGTTAAACGTGGAACACTTACTTCATAGGGTCATGAAAATTAAGCAATTAAATTGAGGGTAAGGACCTAAGAGCATGTGCCTGACACATTAAATGCTTGAAAAATGCCAGCAATTATTATTACAGAGTGACTATTTTAGATTAGCTACACTCAATACTTTATTAAATTCTATGACCCAAGCCACCAATGGCAGGTGGTCTAATAGGGCTGATGACATTTTTGTGACTGTCCACCCACACTTTAAACCTCCACTGCAGAAACTCTTTTGTGGGCCTCCAACACTGTAGGAGCTCCCTGAGGGAAGTGGTCTACTCGGTTTGCAAGCTTTCCTTTTCCAAGACAACATTATTCACAATGTCCTATATACCCCATCAAGATGCCTTTTCTAATTACATCTTTTCATCTTTACCTTCTGGTTTCAAGAACCAGCTCAGCAGTTCTAGACCAAAAAAAAAGGTGTTTAAAACCTTGTTCATTTCATTGAAGTTAAAAACAGCTAAGTATGAGGCCTGCAAGAGCATATTATTTTTCCAGCTATTGTTGTTGAATGTTTAAGGTGTACTTTAAATACCCTATATCGTTTGATCCTCACAATAATTTTAAGAGGTAAAACCAATTATTGTCACCAAGCAAATTTCAAATAGCTGAACCTGAAGATTATGTTTGCATTTAGAGGAGGAAGAAAGGATACTGACAGGTCTCAATCTAGTTCTTGGTCCTATGTAGTACTTCCTTTGAAAGAATCCAGGAACTTGGCTCAACACCTCTCTTTTAAAAACTTTAGCCACGGCAGAGGTCGGAGGTGCGGGAAGCGGACTGGGTATTTAGGAAAAGAAAAAACCGCCGGTTCCTCCCAGCAGTAATTAAAGGACCGGCCAGTCAAGTTACGCGGTCAGGGACCTTAGCCTCGGTCACTCTAGGGTCTGGGAACCCGAGCTGTCTTCTAAGACTGCGCTGGCGGGGAGTGGGGACCGGGACCGGGTACGGCCGCCTGCCCTCCTGGCGCACAGCGAGGCTGACTCACCTGCGTGGCCGCCAGCCGCGCGCGCACCTCCTGCATCAGGAACGGCTCCAAGCCGCGGCCCGCGGTGCAGAAGAAGCGGACGCCCCTATCAGGCCCGGACCCCGGCTCTTGGCGCGCAGCCGCCATGACGGCCCGGGAGCGGCCCCGCGGCTTCGTCACGTGGCCTGGGACGCGAGCGGCGCGATCCCGCGCTCTCGGAGGCGCGCGCCGAGACGGCTTTGGCCCGGGCCTAGGCCTGGGCCTGGGCGGGAGCTGGAGCCCAAGACCCGAGGGTCTGCGGGAGCGGCCCCTGTGGCTCTCCTTAGTTAACTGCACGGAACCGCATTGAGTTTAGAATTCCGGGTGAGAGGACTGTCATTAATCACTTAAGCCACTTGCTTTATTTTTCAAATTGAGAGAACTGATGCCCAGAGAGGTCAAGGGACAGCATAGCTGAGCCTGGAACCTAAGTTTCTCAATATCTAGTATAATGGATTTTCTTCCGTTCCTTCCACCTCCTTTCTCTCCTTCCTTCACCCCTTCCTTCTCACTAACCTCAAAGAAGGAGGCCCTTGTGTCCACCAAGACTCCGTCCAAATCTGCCAATCCTGGGCCCCAAGAGCAGAAATTCATGTGCTCTAACACAATGCCTTTATATTCCTGAAACACACCACATTTCTTGCACTACTTAGTTAACTATCCTGGTAACGAACAAATTTCTCATCCAGTTTGAGCCATCTGATTTGAGCAGCTCATTACGGTATTTGAAAGTTATTTAAAACAAATAACAACCTCTGAATTGTAAAATGACAACGAGAATCCTATTTGCGAAGAATAGAATCCATATCACAAATGGACAGCTTTAAATTAAATCTATAACTACATATTGAATCAGATACACAGAAATTGTTAAATCTGTTTATTTTGCAAGTGCCTCCCATGTGCTTCACAATGGGACACCAAATGGAGAGCAGAATTGTAAAAATTCTTCATGGAGTCTTGAGATATGGACTTTTCATAGATTCAGTCCTAAGACCTTTCAGAGTTCCATTTTGATGAATTCTTTTCTCCCCCAAACTGTTCTCCTTTTGGGTTCTGACTCTCAAGTCTGTCTTGGGAATATCATAAAACCTCTTTTTTTTTTTTTTTTTTGTTACCAGGGATTGAACCCGGGATCACTCATCCACTAAGCCACACCCCCAGCCTGTTTTTGTATTTTATTTAGAGACAATGTCTCACTGAGTTGCTTAGGACCTGGCTAAGTTGCTGAGGCTGGCTTTGAACTCACGATCCTTCTGCCTCAGCCTCCCAAGCTACTGGGATTAGAGGGGACACCATCGCATCTGGCTTATAAAATCTCTTTATTACTCCCAACATCCTATAGCTAAGAGGTTAAGCACACAGATAAGATGCATCCTGTTCTGTTCAATAAATCCTGAGCAGCTATTCTCTGCCATTCACCTGGCTGACCTGGGGATTCAGAAATGAGCAAGGAAGGGTCTGGACCGTCAGAGGCTTAGAAGATGGTGAAGTTCACTGACTGACCATTGATTCATCCAGGAAAGCTATGGCAGCACTGACAAAGAGGAGACAGGGAGATCTTCCTAAAGAAGATCACTCGTGAGTTCAGCTTGGAGGACATGGGAGAGGGAGCAGCATGTGCAGATGTCTGAGGTAGAGTGGGGTGGGGCTGAAAGGCTGAGAGCTCTTAGGAGGTGTTAGAGAATCAGATGAATTGAAGAGTAAAGGCAGAGGGCTGGGAGTTTGGATCAGGAATGACCACCAAAGGCTTGTGCATTGAAAACTTGGCCCTCGGTTGGTGGCACTATTGGAAGGTGGTAGAAAATTAAGGAGGTGGGGCCTAGTTGGAGGAAATAGGGGGACATGTCCTGGAAATGTGTCCCCTTCTTCAATCTCTCTCTCTTTTTGCTTTCCATCCTCCATGAGGCAAGCACCTCAACTCCATCATGTGTTCCCAGCTGTAATGCTTTGTCTCACCAAAGGACCTAAAGTGACAGAGTCAACTGGCCATAGACTGAAGCCTCTGAAACCAGGAGCCAAAATAAATCTTTCCTCTGGTTAAATTGTTTATCTCAGGTACTTCATCACAGTGACAGAAAGCTAACACAGGTAAGGATGGGCCAGGTTATGTAAGTACCACCCAAAGCCATTGAAAGAATGACTGTCCAGCCCAGCACTGGTCAGCAGCTTCTGTTACTGGATGGGACTGCAGCTGAGTGAAGGCTGCAGTCTCACAGAGTCAACCCTCACTTTACATTCCCTTCTTCTGCCTCCTTTTGATATCTTTCTCCCTCCAGTAGCCTCGGGTCAGCAAGGTCAGGGGTTACTTTTGTTCCAGTCGTTTTCATGTGCATTTGTTCTCCTCTGGACCCTGCAGCAGCTTGTCACATCCACCAGTACCTTTCACATAATGCTTGCAATGAGTTGGAATAGGTGGGGTTCCGCCTCTTCTGGAAGAAAATAATTAGTTTTCTGGAAGGAGAGTTGCCTGGAATTCTCTATCCCATTACTCCTTCCTCCATCATTTCTTCTTCTCATTAGCAAAATGTCTCTACTGAAAAAGAACCATTGATTCCTATAGATGAATTTAATATATCCATCTGCGATTTGCTATTTGAATATTACATATGCAATATGCAGGAAGTTGGAACTCGGCAGGAATAACTTTTAAGTGAGAGTATGTTAGGAATAGAGGACAAGACCTGTGTTTCAAGAAGTCTCCTTACTTTGATGCCACTGGCAATTCCTTTAGTTCTTAAAAATGTTTAATGTATATTCTTAGATATTAGAATGCAGATGCTTTAGATTGTGAGATCCTTGAGAGGAGGGGATGGCTATTCATTTGGGCATCCTTAGTGATAACACTGGCTTTCATGTGGTAGGCTCCCAGTCAGGGTGTGCTGCATTAGATGGAATTTTACTGAATGGATCAACACTGAAGTCCCCCTGAGCTAAGAGGATTGCTATAACCATCATATTGTGATAGTAGGAGCAAATGTGACTCCATTTTGTTTTATGACTTCATCTTGTAAAACAACCATGCCAAGTAGAAGAGTCATGTTTGGAGCAAGATGTTCTTTTCCTTTTGCTATAGAAACCTTTAAGAACACGGAACTACCTAATGGGGTATTGTTTCTGTAACTAGGGTAACGGGGCCCTGTTTCTGTCACTGGGGTGACTGGGCTAACTGTGATTGGTTAGGCTTCCCTCGCTTGACTGCACTGTCCCACTTCTGTAACCTGGCTTGCTTGCATTGGCTAGACCCCCGAACATCCCTTTCGCAGTTTTCAGGCTTATAAGTGCCCTTGCAATTGTTCGGGGCTGATCAGGGGAACAGCTTTATGTTCTGGTCAGCCGCCACCAGTGTGCTTCAATAAAGGCTTGATTCGATTATACGTGAGTGGTCTGGAAGTCAGTTTATGAAACCCTGGGATGAAGTTTTAACTATAACAATATCAGCAGGGAGTTTGTAGCAGGATGTGGGAATATGGGTATGATAGTGAAGCAAATCAGGTGTGAAAGCCAGGGAATGGGGGGATGACCCGAACCTTTTTCACTACTTTGCTTGTTATTTCCCCCTTCCTCTTCCTCTTCTCTGTCCTCCCCACACACTTACTAAATAATTTTTCTTAGGAATATTGCTCAGAATTACCAGAGAAGGCCTTTCACATATCCTATGTTATGGTTTGGATGTGAGGAGTCCCTCAAAAGCTCATGTGTGAGACAATGCAAGAAGGTTTAGAGGAGAAATGATTGGGTTATGAAAACTTTATCTCAATTGGAATTAATCCCCCTGATGGGATTAACTGAGTGGAAGTTGAAGACTGGTAGGGTGTGGCTAAAGGGGGTGGGTCATTTGGGGCGTGGCTTTGGGTATATATTTTGCATCTGGTCTGCAGAGTCTCTTTTTCTGTTTCTTCAACATCCTGCGAGCCACTTCCTCCACCCTTCTGCCATGATTTCCAGCCTCATCTAGAGCCCTGAGGGATGGAGCCTGCTGTCTATGGACTGAGGCCTCTGAAATTATGAGCCTCCAAGTAAACTTTTTCTCCTCCAAAATTGTTCTGTTTGGGTGTTTTAGTCACAATAGTGAAAAAGCTGACTAAAACATCTTGCTTTCCATTTCCCTCTCCTACAGTCTGGTACAGTTGAGTGGGGCTGATGACACACCTTGGTCTCTTCTGTGCAGGAGATTAACAACCTGCTTTACACCAACCAATACCAACTGCTGACTTCAGAATGCTACTATTTCCCTCCTCCCAGGCCTTATGTCCCTCAAAAGCTCATGTGTGAGACAATGCAAGAAGGTTTAGAGGAGAAATGATTGGGTTATGAAAACTTTATCTCAATTGGAATTAATCCCCCTGATGGGATTAACTGAGTGGAAGTTGAAGACTTCCCTCCTCCCAGGCCTTATGTGTGTGTCTATTTCCTTTGCCTGGAACACTCTTTTCTTGCATTTTTTTTCTTTAATAGCTAAGCTAGAATAATATGCCTTTCTTGTACCCTTTTACTTATATAATATTTATACTGTTATCATTTGTTCATTCATAAATATTTATTGAGTATATGGCAATATATCAGTTAATACAAGGCACCAGCCTATGAGAAACTTCCAATTTAATGGGAGGTCATGGTGATAACCCTGGATTACTGAGAGACAAGAAAACAAGTTTTATTTAAAGGATAGAACAGGGGCAGGGGAGGGAGAGAGGGAGAAAGAGAGAGGGAATCCTTCCAAGAGGAGGAGGTCCAGAGTTGGTGCCTGAGGGAGTGGGGATGTCTTGCCCCTTTATAGATTTCAGGTTTCCTTTCTTCTCATGCCCCCTCCTCCTTTTATCCTGCCTCTGTGGCCAAAAGGTGGAGTGACTGAAAGGGCAGGGGGAGAGCCATTCTGGGGCTGATCGCTGGTATTGGAAAGTGCGATCCTTCCTCTTCCCTGGAGGCTGTTAACAACCAGGTGATGGGGAGTGCTCTCTACCCATTTCCTTTTCTTTGATAATCAGCTACTTACCCTTTGCCCCAGTCTCAAAAGTATATCAGTACATGGTGATATATGGGAACTAAGAAAAGCAACTGGGACTGGCATATAATTGCCATTTTATGAATGAGGTAGAATAAATGAA